CATTTTTGTGAAGCATTTGACTTGTCTCCTTTTTTCCCCCATATTTTATGTATGCAAGATTGAACCATGTGTTGGTTGGATTTATGAAGAGTTGTTGGAGCATTAGACACGTGTATATTTATCTTTATCTGGCCATTAAGTACTAGATTTCCTGAAGAACCCCTTGTATGTCAGCTCCTATTTCATTACTTAGTTTCTAGAAGCATTAAACATGCAGCTTATCCAGTCCCTAATGAGAGCTGTCAGGTGGTAAAATACTTTTGAAAATACAGGTGGGAGATGTGCATGGTAGAAAAATGTTTTAGCTGAGAAAGGTTGAGCAGTTCTGCAAATTGAGTCATAGGAATCCATCTTTTCTACATCTGTAGATGAGGAATACTGAACACTGTTAGTAAGAGTGAATTGACACTCTGTGGCAACTAAGGACCAGATCAGCTGTGTACAGTTAATTTTTAAATAAGACTGCACATCAGCTCACTAATGTATTGGGAACGTCTGTGAAATAGGTCACTACTCACTCCAAGATTACTTGCCAGCCTTCTCTTTACTATTTGTGAAATACCTAAAATGCTGTGGATACTTGTCCACTGAGAACAAGTTGAAGATGCTATGTAGTGACTTGCCAGGAACAATAAGAAGAAAAGCCAGCAGAATTGTCAATAAACTCTCTGACAGTTGTTTTTTTTTTTTGTCTGAGTATGGCATTTTGTCTCTCGCCATCTATACTGTATTATATCACAAATTGTTGTTTACTTTTATATTTTGTTTTTAGAATTCTTGCAACCAGTGAGTGACTTATCAAGCAAGTATGTTTATGTAGAAAATGAAGTGTCAAATTATCCACTATTTCGATTACTTGGGTGGTTGTTATCTTTTTTTCCATAATTGACTCCTGTGAAAAGTCTTTTTTCTCAGAGAGGCCGCTGTGTTGTCAGTTGTGCTAAATTGTATGAGATTATGTGCTACAGTTTTATGACAGAAACTGATATTCATTAGGAAGTTGTGATCACTGTAATAAAAAGTAATGAAAAGGAGATGCATGGTTGTCTTTTCAGAACATGACAAGTATTCTCTTCTTTCCTCTTACTTCATTGTCAGTCAATCTGCAGCTCCTTTAAATTACCACTTGTGCATACAGAGATTTCACTCATTCATTGACAAGCCTTTTGGGACTGTACGTTCAATAGCAGGCATTTCTAACTTCTTCCACTGCTTATAGAAGGTTCATGAGATCGGACTTACCTTGTCAGAGAGAGAAGCAGATAGGTAGAAAAAAAGAAGATTCATGGGGATTGCATGGAGCTCTCTTTCTCTGTTGGTCAGCCACAGCTCTGAATATTTTTGCAGTGGTTCACTGATAACAGTTGTGACTGCTTTTCCAAACTAGAACATTACAGTGTTTCCATGTATGTTCTCTCCTTGCCTCCCTTCTCAGACATGTTGAAATGTCAGTACCTTGAGCTCACAGAAGTCAACAAATGAGAAAGATCAGCAGGATAAAGGTGTCAGTATGACATGAAAGTGCAGCTCAGACTTCTATTCACTTTGTCTTTAGCACAGTACCTGCAAAAGTAATCAGCGTTCACATCTTTCTTTCTCTTTCTCCAGTTTTTGCTTAGTTAACTAACTGAGCAGTAAGTTAGTTTCTCTTTGGCTGCTGGTATTCAGGAAGCACTCTGGAGCTGAGATCAGAGCTCTATTGGTTTGGTCATATATACTAAAAACTTAAATATCTTTTAGAGATGGAGAAGATAGTCTCAGTATTCTCCTCGTTTATGGAAGTGGTCCTGAAATGCAGGGAGATTGACTAATTCCACAGTCACACAGGAATCCAAATCCCTTTACAGGATTTCTCATCCTCTGTGTTGCCTATTCAGCAACCCAGTAATGACAGTCAAATAAGCAGGATGAATGCTCCAGGCAAAATCCCAGCTTGTTTTCTTCAAAGACACGAGTTGTACCTAAAATGTTAAGCAGAGAGTTGATTACTTCCTACCCTACAGTGATAGAAAGACCAGGGCTGTGGTTGGGTGTGAGTCAACGTGATGACTGGGGTTGGGGCTATTCTTGAGCATGATTTGTGGAAGAATACGTATCTATGCCTATCATGAGTGTTACCTGTAATTTTTTTCCATTAATCAGATTTTTCTGACTTCTTGTACAAAAACTTGTTGATTACCTTTTTGTTGATTGTATACTGAGTAGATTTTAGTCTTAAAGGGTGGATAGGAACTTTTTAAGATAAAGCAAAACTCTTGTACCTTATTTAGGACAAAGTACAGTTTTGTCTAGTTTTCTAGAAGAGTATCTTTTGGACTGTTTTTAGAATTAAATGGTTTAATTGTCAATTGGTAAATCCCACTGACGTAAGTTATTTTTTTGTAAAGAATTCCTGAGCTTTTCAGATAGCAGTGCCTCTATTTATGTTCAACTCTGTACAACAGCTGTGGAAGAGATTTTTAGATCTCCATTGTGAATGAGAGGATGATGTCTTCCCAGGTGAGACTTAGGGCCGAGAATATCACAGGCTATGAAGGAAGTGCACAATCTATACATCTTTTTGTGTTCAAATGAACTTATCAGTCAGCATTAAGGATTTGAATTTGATCGTTTGTATCACAGTTTGGAGATGAAGAAGCTACAAAAATTCAATTTAACTAAAGCCCTTTTAAGGATTAAAGGTTCTTTATTTAGTAATCTAGCTTTACATGTGTATAATGAATGCAGTGAAAATTAACGTTTAGAATACTGGTAGAAAGGGGATGGAGAGAGAGAGAGAGGAAGAGAGAGAAGGAAAGACATACATACAATTTATTCCACGTTTTTTAAATTTGATTTGAAAGGTAAATGAGCAATTTTAATTTTGCATCTGGGACACTACCTGGATTCACTTTTATTTGCTTTGCGCAATTCTAGTCAGTTAGAGGAACTTTGTGCCTTCCTAATGTGAGAATTCAGCCATTTCTTTGACTTCAAGGTTTTTTTTCTCTTAACATCCTGCAATATCAGAAATACATTTTTCCCCCTTTGTAGAGACTTATGGTATCATTTTCAAAAGACCAACTCATATTGATTGCACACCAGACTGGATGCCAAATGAACCTCAAACATGACACTAATCTACCTCATTGACTTTGAAGAAGCAAATTCTTTGAGTGTTTGCTTTTAAAGTCAGAGTGAAAGGCATCTTCTTTTCATGCATGCAGTACTTAAGCTCTATTAATTGAAGAAAGAAGGACAGAAGAGGAGGATACTGCAAACAAAATAAAATGTAGCTTTGACTTTTTACAGCAGATTATCTAGGAAGAGAATATCTGCATTGTGAGTAAAACTTGACAATTCATTGTGAACAAAAGATACGGAAGACATATGAGAACAATTCAAGTCTACCTCAGCATCTCCTCTGTTTGCTTTTGTTGTAGTCTAGGTCTTGGCCTTATTTCTGCAAAGAGATGCTGTTATTCACTTCCTTTCTTCTATTCATTCAGATCTATGCTTTGCAAGAATGAAAACGAATTAATGCAGCTAGGTAACATATTCTCATTCTTACTCTTCTCTGCCTTTGCAATAAGGTAGCCATTGGTTCCCTGAGATGCTTTTCCAATTGTTCACTGTAGGAAAAGACAAGTATAATCTATGGGGACAAACAGTATCTCTTGATAGAGTTTGTTTAACTGGCATCAGTGATAGTACCATTGCAACCAGTCTGGACTAATTTGTTTTTTGCCAAATTAGTGTAAAATTCATTTTCTTTCCAGGTACTGCTTACAAAGGGCACTGTGATTACAGATACTAATTTAACTTTTAGGACAACCTTTGGCTCTGACCATCTTTCAGCTTTTCTCAGATGTTCCTGTAAACTGAGGGAGTGACTGTTCTGGGAGCCAAACTATTATTAACTTTTCTTTTACACAATTATTAAAAAAAAAAAAAAAAAAAGTACAAGCCACAAACAAAACCAGGCATAGAAAAAAAACAGTCAACAAACAATCAGACTTTAACTCTGTGCATATAAATATGTAGAGACTTGAAAACACATATGCGAAAGTATATGTATACAGATTTTCAAGCAGTCCAAGTCATCATCATGTGTAATGGGATTGATCATATTTATCATGAGCTTTAGCAAGCTGAAGCATCCATAAGCATGGCTTACTGCCTGGAGACAGTACTTGCATACCCAGCAGCAGCTGCAGACTTGGCTAAGCTGCTTCTACTGTGTTCATTACATTAGTCTTTCTTCTGCTAGTTGTTGGATGTGTGTCCTGTTATCTGGACCTGAGAGAGATCTGGACCAAACAGAGCTTAATCAGACTTGCACAGCCTCAATTCTCCTCTCTGTTTGTGTGACATATAAGAAATTCAAGCTTCTGTAGTACAAAAGGCATCTTTACCATCAAGCTTTTGTGTTGTGAGCAGTCATCAAGGTGAAGACATCAGTGGCATGGCGAATAACTCCTCCACTGTGTCTGCAGAGCAAGATCATAAATTACAGCAATGGAAGATATAAATGAACTATCGATATTTTCTAACAGTAAACGTTGTCAAATACAGGAATTGCTTGCTTAGGGATGCTTTAAAATGTGAGATATTTATCACCTAAATATTCTTACAGATAGGTTAAACAAACCTCTTTCAGAAATGGTTTTAGATACAGATAGTGTGCCTCCTCTACTTTTTATGTTTTCTTGAACACACTTAGTGTGCCTCCTCTACTTTTTATGTTTTCTTGAACACACTAACAGGGCTGTAGAAAGCTTTTACATCTTTTCCATCTGTTGACCTGCAATCCCCTGGGAAATCAATGAAGAAAGTTGTCCCAAAACCACTGGCTAATATGAATGAGTTAATGCTCCTAATTTTTTAATGAGGATTTGAGGATTTGTTTTTCATTAGGCCAATTAAGAATGTAGAAGAGTTTGACAGCATGGGTCTATGTGTTATATCTGCAAGCAAGCTTCACTGATGGCAAATATATGTGTATGTGTTTTAATGCGTAGGAAACAATGTTATGAGAACCATCCATGGTGTAGGAGAGATGATGACCCAAATGGTACTAAGCAGAGGATCTATATTTCCCATCAGTGTCCCTGATGTACAGCCAAGCATTCACCCAAGCAAGCAAGCCACCACCTCAGAGAATGAAGATGTGATTGTAATGGACACCAAATTGAAAATCATTGAGATTTTACAGGTAATAATGATTGGTGTAATGTTAAATGGCAATCATTTTACATTTATTCACTTACATAATGGCAGGTTCTATTACCTGCATTCTTGCTATTCACTGAGCTGTTCATTATGCGAATGACTTTGATATAAGGAAGAATACTACTTTGAGTGAACACTAGTACAATTGTGGTTCTCACAATTGTCGTCCTTAACTTCCAAAAGGAACTAGGTGCTATAGAAACTCTATCACTGTAACTCTGATAAGACCTAACTTGTATGTTAAGCTACCTCACTAATGTTTTCTGAAAACAACGTATGTGTTTCCAGTTTCATTAGCACTTATTCTACACTGATACAGCTTATTTATTTGACTTTAGTATTTGAGTGGACGTAGACCCACCAAAGTCGAGCAAAGTCATACAATTTTGAAGTTGTTTTCAGATTTCCACTGTTAGTTGCCCACAAACTATTCTCAATTATGATTTTCTCCCAGCTTAACTGACAAGTCGTATGACACTAGCATGCTTCCTGAGATACAATTTTCATTTTGTGCTAATAATGAGTAAAGTGGCACACATTTGTTCTGCATATCAAATCCCAGTTCTTGCAATACTTAGCCCTGAAGGAGTTTTTCAGTATTTTCTGTAAATCCTGCTGATCTGTTGGTACCATTGTCACTTTTGAAGGATTCCATTTGTTCTGAAGGCTTATAAATGATTTAGATTACCTTAACTACTTGTTATCTGAAAGGTTATTAATTATTAGGTCTTCAATACTGCATGTGTTAATTTCAGATCTGCTTCAGCTTAAGGCTTACGGAGTGTTATAAAAGTGGGATGTTAAGGCTTATGAAAGTGTTACGAAGTGATACCTCCTAAAGAATACCATTCATGAGTCCTATTTGTCAATTTCCTTTGATTTGCTGAATGTGTAAGTTTCCTTCCATGTGTCTTGCTCTCCTGGTTGATGCATGGAAGAATGATTCCAGGACAACAGCCTCTTCCTGTAGGTTCCCTGTCTACTCAGAGGAAGAAGAAACACATTTTCGTCTCAACCTTTCCTCTTCCACAGCACATGTAGTGCAAAATCACCCAGGACCAGAGAGTGTTTAATCCTATGCTGTTACTTTGTGGCTTAGTTATGTTTTAGCTATGTGGTCAAATTAGTGCAAATTAGCAAATTGTCACATTGACAGCAAATGTGCGTATATAAAACCTTAGTTCATAAGGAATACAGAGCAGTTCAGTTTCATTTAAAACACGATGAAGAAGGATTAAGTTAAATCACATTACCTTTTGTTACTGGGCTGTTAACCTAAAATGCAAGAATATTTTAGATTTATTGTATTGTCATGCATAGCTAGTACAATGATGATTAAGACTATTCTATTCTAAGAAATATTAAGCTTACGGTAATTGTTTCTCTTATTTTAAGTAAGGGCATATTTTTACTTAACAGTTTCTGTACTACCATCAGCCAGAACTAAACAGATGGCCTGATAGACTTACGTGACACGTGGACTGCAGAAATGTGTAGTTGTAAAAATCTTGCTTCTATTGTAACAGGGTAATTTGATCATGGAACCACAGTAAACTTACCTATTTTCTATTTTGTATTAGAAGATTTAAATGAAAAGATACTGTTTCTTTAACTAACAATTTACTTGGTTTTAGATGGCATAGATGGCGCTCGTTACATTAGTAAAATCCTATTACAATACTCTGGGTCTGGGAAGCTTGTATGACTTTAGTTACAGATCAAAGAAACAAGTGGGCACTATTTGCTAAGTCATTACCTGTCACCTGAGTCTTGGTAACTTAATATATGTACTTTTATCCACACTGAAATGAAAACGTTAAATAACTGTAAACCTTTTCCATTGTATGCTTGCATTTACTGTGGGATAGGAGCTTATGTGTGTGAAATACTGCAGCTCGGTTGATGAGCAGGCAGTTGTTGAAATGTAGAAATCTGTCAGTCCTTCAGGTGGTGTTTATGTCTCCAGCCAACTTTTCTCACTTTTCCATTTTAAAAGCAGCACTTACAGGTTTGATTTAGGATTTTTCCTGTATGAGTTTCTGTTTTCACTGTTGAAGGCACCAACAATTAAAAGAAAACATCTGTCAGGCATCTGAGTGGGTGAACCTTGAGCTTGTCATCTTTACACTCAACCCCACTCCACTTCTTATCTCCCTGAGGCTTTAGATGTCTGACTGAAATGTGAAATAATCTGTTTCAACCTGGGTTTGGATGTATTGATCTGGCTTGTAGGCAGTGGGGACAAGGCAGTGTGCTGGTGCCCCTAGACAAGTCAGTCTATTTCTTAGCATTCATCTGTAGACACAGCAGTGTTTGATACACCTCTGGTAGAGGCGGTGGGAAGAAGTCACAACAAACTGAAATAAATATAACAAATTCATTTTGCATAGGGGATGTATTTATTATAATAATAACCACGTATCTTTGTACACACACACATACACCACCCTAAACCCATGTTATTAAAAAAAATTCTGATTTTTAACTACTTCTTGTAGTTTATTCTCAGTGTTAGACTGGACTATAGAATATCCTACATGCTGTCCATCTATAAGAGAGAGTTTGGGGAAAACAATGAGAACGTCGATAGCTCTACAACCTCCCCACCTGACACATCAGGGATTCCCTCAGGTAAATATTGCTATTGTATGTAAACTAATTCTATGTAAACTTCTGCATTGTTCCAAATATTTTAGTTAGCAGTAAACTGAACTGCACCACAAAGGTGCATGTCAGTGAATTTGAAAAGCTTGTGATAAAATGAAAGTCTTAACAAATCCCACAAAAGAGATATTTGCTGGTTTGTCCTCAGCTAACTAAAATGTAATTCCTTTTTCCTGTTATGACAATTTATCCTCTTATTTGTACACTCCCCAAAACACTGGAAGATGGAAAGTGTAGCAGAGCACACAGATTTTGAAAACATGTTTAAAGAGTGGATGAGGACAGCTTTAAGTGTGGTGAACGTAGCATGGGAATTGAGTGGCTTTCCAAGGGAGTGTTCTGGTGCACACAGAGGTACTTAAAAGGCTGACAGTTCTGTGTGTGATGAGCTACAGGTAAGGGAGAATTTAATTGGAGGTGCTGTGCAATAAAGGTGTGGCTAAGAAATACTAAAGTCTTAAGTAGTAGGGTATATTAAATTAATTCTAAAGACGAATAATAATGTGGTAAATAATTTGATTTATGATGAATATTGTAAAGGTCATGTGTTTCATTTTACTGCTTTATGGAGGTTCGCTGATCTAACAAAAAATGTAGAATTTTCACATTCTGTGTCATTTATGACACAGTGCCACGTTGATCCAGTCTATCAACTAGAATTTGTCTCTTCCAAAGTAGTAGTAAAACATAATTTAACTGCCATATGTTCTAGTTCTTTCCTACTGTTCTTCCCCTTTCATTTTTCCAATAAATACAAGGAATTTTGCCTAGCTGAGAGATGCAGTTAGACCTTAAGTTGATAACATCCAACTTTAAAGATGGAATTCTTTTTCACTTGCAGGTTAAACAAACATCAGTGTTCTTTACAAATTTTTATTTTGATTGTTTTCCAGCAATTGTTCCAGACATAGATGAAATTGCAGCTCAGGCTGAAACCATGTTTGCTGGCAGGTATAATCTCTGAAGTTTTACCTGTCTATATTAATCCTTTTATTCACATTGATACTAATTATGGACAATGTCTCTTGATTCTCTATGTGTTTTCATACCCCATTCTCTTCACTTGGCTAATTCTTATTACATAACCTACACATGGACAGATAAGTGCCAGAGAAGATCTGGATTTTGAACAGACTGGCCAGTGGGTGGTACTTGTTGAGGGACTGGGGTGACAACCCTCTTGATCATCTGTATTTGTAAGAGAGTTGGTAGAAAATTTGTTCCCAAAGACAGGTGGAGAATGGTGTATAGGCGTGTTTGGCTTAACCACACTATTTTTTTCTCTCTCTAATATGCTTTTAGAGATAGAGCCTTTTCTAGTACATTTATGGCCGTTGACCCAAATTTCTTGGATCAGTAGGTTCCTGTTGCATCTTGTCTTAAAATTACTAAGAAACTGTTATAAAAAATAGTCTATTTCATGTGGCTCCACAAATCAACTGTGGACCTCTTGCCATAATCTCTTGACCACCAAAAGCTCGTAGATCAAAAATGATGCGTGCAAAGTTTTGGAAGTGTTTTCATCTATGCTGTGAACAACAATAACAAAAAACATGCACAGAAAATATCCACACTGGAGAATTATTACCCTTATTGCTATACTGGTTTAACTTTTCTGGAACAATTATAATTATACCAGTAAAAATGTTTCCCATTTAGACAAGGCCTCAGACTTGAAAGATTTCCTTGGAGCCAGGGACAGAGATCCTCAAGATAGGATTTCTCATCTTTCTTGTCTGTCCCTAATGTGCTTTCAGTCTTTACCAGTGAGAGCAATGCCTCCATTCCTCTCCCTGAACTCTCATGATATAAAACAACACATAGCCCTTGGCATCTGCATCTTCAGAATGAACAGAGAGACTGGATGGTTTCTTGGAAACGTTACTTCTGCTTTGATATGTTAACTATAAATCTGATTCTTTTGCTCTAGAGTGTAAATATGATTCTAGAAATACGACGCTTTTCTCAATTCCCACAATTTTTGAGCTTATTTTTTCTTGAATGAAATTTTAATATCAGCTGAAAAGGGAAGGATTAAAAAGGATAAGGCCAATTAATCTCTGATAAAATGCCATTGACTTCAATTAGTTTGAACTGTGAATGAACTTGGTGCAGTTTATCTAAAACGTAAATGAATGTTTTTGCAATATGGATTTTAATCACAATATTTGACACAGTTCATACATATTTACTTTTATTCTGTAGTATCTCTTGTGCTACAAGATTGCCAAAACAGCATGTTACTGTAGGATTTAAATACTTATAAAGTATGTTAAAAGGGAACTTATAATTTATATCTCACAGCAGATTAGATTTGGTTGTAAGAGCTGTATAGAATTAAGACTGTACATTTATTGCATATTTCTGTCAAAAGATTTTATTATATTACTTTATTTGGTCTTTTTTTTTTTTCCCCCACATATCTGTTGAAGAAAAGAAAAGAATGCGGTTCAGCTTGATGATGAAGGGGGCAGAACCTTTTTACGAGTCCTCATTCACCTCATCATGCATGATTATCCTCCTTTGCTCTCAGGTGCTCTGCATCTGCTATTTAAGCACTTCAGCCAGAGAGCAGAAGTTCTGCAAGCATTTAAACAGGTATCAGTGGGCATAAAATTATTGTGGGAACTATGGGGAAAGTTTTTCCAAAGACTGATTTATTTTTTTTAACCTGATTTGCTGTTTGTACCTTGGTTGCTCTGAAAATCTTATCTCCTATTTGTTTCTATGGAAAATACAACACTACTTGACAGGATAGAGTCTCAGCTAAAAAAGTCTATTTTTCAACATAGTCACCCCCATTAGCTATGCATTTTTGTCAGTGAGAAACAATAGCCAGCATGCCATTCATAAAAATCTGCACTAGCTGCATGGCCATCTGGAACATGGTTTGTCTTTCAAGTTGTTCTCACCACTGCTAAAACATACCATCCATTACCTGGCAGTGCTCATATATCACTGTTTGGTCTCCATAAACATTCGGCAAGTGTTGATGAATGCCAATGAGTGTCATATTTTCTGCATGGTGGAATTCAGTGACACACCTTTGCTTCATACACACTTCCATCTCGATGCCATTTTGTCAGATTTGTCTGCTGCTATCTGTCACGTGGCAACAAAACGTAATGGAGTATTGGTGTATCAATGGAGTATCAACCTCTACTGCCATCACACCACCATCTGTTCCTGATGTCGTGGGCCAGCATAATAAAATAGGAGGCATTGCTTTTGGTTTGACAGTGCTTAAGGGACTTTTCTTAAGGGTCCCAAGTCAGCAGAGAGAAATTTTTTTTGGTATATATTAGAGGTGAACATGTGTGCTAGTGCATATTCTAGTTGTGTATCTGTAACTGAAAAATCTATGTCTGTGGTGACAGCTGGGACACAGATATCTCACAGTGAGTCTTGATGTAGTGATTCCTCAGAGGCAGAGCTAGTAGCTCATGTTCTGCAAGCAGTGTACTTGTGTCAGCAATAAGACTTTCATCTCTCCAGGATTACCTAAACTGGATGTAAAGCAGTACTGCTATAAATGCGGTGTTTTCAGTTCTAGCTGTAATTCAGGTGTCCTTGCACGGAGTCTTTGCATCCACTGCATGATACAGATATGCCCAAACAACAGAAAGCCAGTAACAGAGCTAAATCTGTCTTCGGTTTTTACTCTTTTGTCTTGATAGCATTGCATGTGCGTGCTCCATGTGTCAGGGGATTAGTATTGGGAAATCTGATGTCATGTGGCTAGATAACAGAGCCATCTCTGTTACGTAACCCTATAACATATGTTGTTAAGACCATCTGATGTTTATTTCAGGAGTTTGCTAGCATATTGTCTCATTGTTATGTAAGATGTGGAGACTTCTCTTGTTTGAAAACAGATGAATGATAAAGACCTGGAAAGCTTTTGTTTAATGTTTTTTTGCATAGCAGCCTCCTAGCAGGATTTTAATGTTAGGCCATGCAGATTAGGTGCATAAATAGCTATTATTACCAGGTTAGCAAGGATTTGAGTAGCTTAACATATTTTCATAAAGGAAGGAAAAGGCTAATTGGCAAATACACAAAAAAGAGCATGGAGAACCTGGAATATGAATATCTGTGGGTGAGCAACATTCATAAATAATGCTAAATAACAAGGTTTTACTAAGCTATGAGAAGAAGATGAAAATTTTGTATTACAAGGTAGTGAATATTTGCTTGCAAGCAGTGATTTTTTGTTTTCGGTGTTCCTATCAGTTTTCCTATCTGCCATGTGACTGTATTCCTTTAAATAAATAAGTTTTCTTAATGGTGCCTATCGGTTTACTGTGAGGATTATTGTATTTTTTGGTATATCATCTTCATTAATGATCTTGGGAGAGCAAAGAGCATTACAAAGAAAGGAAATGTGTAGGTCGTGGTAAATAAAGAACTAGAAATAACAATGAAAAGCAGGAACAGACAATTTAAGCAGTACAAGAAAACTAAAGTGCAATTAATCTTAGTGAGATGCAACTGCTCAGAAAGTGGGAACAATGCAAGCCTGAATGGTTCATGAGGTATTCAAACAAGTTTGTTTTTTTAACTGGACTAATGGTGTTAAAGATCCAGTATTTCTCACTGTTTGGTTATGATGATGATCATTAAGCTGCTGGCCATTCTGACATTTCTTTGGATCTCCTGATTCCTTGACATACCATTATTTTTCTCTTTTGTTTTCTTTGTTTTCTTTTTCTTAGCTTAATCTATCAACGTAGTACTATTTCAAATTATATTGTTTCAGTATCATGAGGATCATCATCATGGCATCAGAGCTTACTCTGTGGAGAGCTCAAGGCCTTGTTAATATGTACTTGCACTGAAAAAGTTTTGCAGTGTATTAAGGAAAGATGGAGAATGATGTGAATATTACAGCTATCCTGCTTTGGGCAACCACAGCTCTGCTATAGGTTTTTACTGAATGGATGCTAAAAACACCACGTATGCCACATTTTAATTTCATAGGGAAAGTTACGAAAAACATCTGAAATCAGGGTCCTAGAATGGAAACTGTTGAGCGAGTTTCCCAGATTAAGTGCTAGTGTTGTAATAGCCTTACGATTTTCTATATTTATAGGTTCAGTTGCTGGTGTCTAATCAAGATGTTGATAACTACAAGCAAATCAAGGCTGATCTTGATCAACTGCGTCTGACTGTAGAAAAATCAGAGCTGTGGGTTGAAAAAAGTAATTATGAGAGTGGAGAAGGGGGCGATAATCAAACCAAAGGGGGAGAAGAGCCAATAGAGGTGAGTTTAATGCCTTTGCTGCTGGAATTGTTTCAATATGAATGTGTAGTTTGATGAGCAACTGCAAACTAACGATGTGGTAAATCAAAATAGTGAAGTGAGAGTGACCAGTGTTCTGTCTGTGCTTTAGGATTAGACAGAATAGAAGACAAAACTTTCTAAAATCAGTGTGTTGAATCACATTATCAGTGTGTTTGCTTCTGCTCTTTTCAGTAACTGCATTCTTACTTCACAGAGTTGCCTTCCTTTCTGCCCAGCAAGCAAACCATAACATATGACATAATGGAAGTCATGTGGGAATCACGTCTTGGGAGTTGTGTTGGCTTGCTAGGAGGAGCAGGCAATATCTGTTCTTGAAGCTAGGAGAGAGGAGCACAATTGAGTGCACATTTTCAAACACCCTTAGCAAGCCTACAGTCAACCAAGCAGAAGATTGACTTAAGAAAATCTAGATTTCTAAAGTGAACAATTTTTTTTTTTTAACCTTTGATTTTCCAGATCTTGGGGAACTTTGTGTTTTGAGAGTCTCTTGGACTTGAATCTGGAACCATGAATACCTGAGTTTGTTTGTTTGTTTGTTTATTTTTTGTTTTTCTTTGAAAGCTGAAGTCCTTAAATAATTGTCCAACTGCACAATGAATTTGTAAGAAAAGTTGAAGTTTTACAAGATTTGTTCTGGTTGAGGTTTGTGGCATAATAGTAGACAGAGCAGGCTACCCAACTTTTCCCCCAACATTTATTGTATCTTTCATCAGTGTAAGTGATTTTCTAACACATCACTTTCCTTATTTTCTTCCTTAGTAGATTCTTCTCCTGGCAAAAATGTAGAAAGCCAAGTGTAGATTATACAGGATTGGGAAGCTGGTATATTTTGGAAGAGTTAGGAGCCATTGAGAAGACAGTGAATAGTTACAGATATCTAGAAGACACTTAGCTTGTCAGATGAGAAAGTAGATTTTATGTGGCTTCAGAGGAGGGGACATTAAATCTTTCAAAGTATAATCCCAATTTCTTGTGATAGTGTAGGTCCTAGTCCTTCTCTGATAGAAGGTAACTGAATTTAATTGTGTCAGAACTGGGGAGGAATAAAGACTTTATGAACTTAAATGGGTGTGATTTCCGACTTTCTTCAAGATTTGCTCTAGTAGGAAGGAAAACGGTCCTTTACATATTTAATGAATGGAAAATGGAATGGGAAGACAGAATTGCAGCAGGATATTACAATGTGTTTTGATTTTTTGTTTCCTTTAAGCAGTAATATGTTTTTGAAGTGTAATAAGATCCTTTTGTTCTTAAAGATAGCTCTAATGTTAAGGAAACTCAAAGAAGGAGGATTCAAAGCAATGTGCTTTAGACAGAAGCATCTCTAAGTGAAATGTTTTCAGTAGTTTTTCCCATGAGGCAGCAGTGGGTCTGTACAGATTAGCACTACTTCAGTAGATGTACAGTAGTATCTCTGACAGGTCTGTGAGCATATTGTATCAGAATGATAATATATAGTCTGCATAACTGGTTAGCTTATCTGATAATAATTCCATGAGAGCTGTGCCAACATACAGTAGCTCAGAATTTTGTCCTTTATTCTTTCCTTGACAAATTATTCTTTAATGAAAAATGAAAAATCATGAAATGTTTTTACCTTGCAAAAGTACTTTATGTAGTGAATTCTCTCTTTGATATCTTACGTGAGACTTAAGAGGTAAGGTGCTGGTCATAATATACAATGTATGAAGCAGGTGACTAGCTTCAAGCAGAGGAATATCCTTGTGAAATCCCATGTTTTTTTTTAATGAGTACTCAATATTCAGTACTGAGGTGGATGAACTTGTAGGTCCTCAGGAAGAAGCTCCATTAGCTTGTGCTTAATTTCTCACAAACAACACTGAAGTTGTTTACACAAAGTTGAAGATGTTGTGCACAAAGGCTTCAATTACATTCCACAACAGTATCTTAAGCCCACACTTCTGTCTTGACATTGCAAGACTGCTGTATTAAAAAAAAAAAATCGTATGTATTTCTTTACCCTTGGTCTTCCATGTATTTTTGGATCATTTTTTCAGCCTCTTCTTTTTAATAACTTTGGGCTGGAGGTGTTTGGTTTGTTTGTTTGTTTGTTTTACATGCAATCACATGACTCCAGAAACAGAAGTTTTGAGAGTGGCCCTGTTCTTCTAAATGAGGTATTCAGAGTTCTCTGCAACAGAACAATAAACCTTACAGTTATGCAGGATCATCTTGATAGGAAATGGAATTCAGAACTGTAGGAGAGTGTTTGGAGTTAAGTCAGACATAAATTAGGTATCACTATAGCTATAGTATTAGGAATGCTGAAACTAATCTTATGTAACTGAGCCTTACTTAGGAAAAACAAATAAAGACTCTGCTTGGTTGTCTCTAGTTAAGGTAGACTGTGGACTAGTGTGGACTATGAAAAGTGTGTTTTTGTTGTCTTCTCACTTGAAGATGCTTTGATGATGTAGCACCAGAAACACAACTCTGGGAAGGAGAAGTATGCAGTCTCAGTAGAAGGACTTATAGGTGAAAGTGGAATACAGTGCAATGGAACTTAAAGAATTTCTCAACTTCACAACTTCAGGTTCCAAGTGGTATAAACTTTCTGCACTCTCAAGTGCTTAGTATTTCCTTGCTTTCCTATTCTGGTCCTTGGTAGTTTGCTTTGGTTGTGGAAATGTTTAAATCCCATATCCTAAAAGTGGGGAGAAATACTCAGGGAGAACCTTTCTCAGTGCAAGCTCTACAATTTCCCATCCCTTATGGAAAAGCGTGACAGAGAATGTCTATCATGGGACATAACAAGGCAAGATATGCAGCTGAGTGTCTGTGGTATCCCAGTGGTGTGATTAACTCTTGATAACTACATCTGTGGAATACTCTTATGGGTTCAATAAACAGGTTTTTATTTTGTTAGGAGGTAGGGATAGATTCTGCAGTTTAATGCTGATCAGCATTTCCAGATAAGATGTATAGTTCACATGGATTATAAAACTACTTTGATTGAGGAAGAAGTCTGATAAAAGGAACAGGTAGATTAATCTTGGTTAACCCACAGTCCCAGAACAGGAGAGAGTGGTTAATTATAGCAAAGAGCCTGAAATATCTTCCAAAGTATTGATTCAAAGAGGCAGAGAGAAGGCAGCATGCATACTAACAAACCTAAACAAATAAAAAATCCAGTGTTGTCGCATAGATCAACATGACCATGCTTGAACAGCAGTGCTGACACTATTATAAACAGCTTTCATGGCCAAGTGGTTCAGCTAGCTGTTCTTGCCCTGCTGGAAATTAAGACCAGATGGAATTTATAGAACTTCTAATATTCACAATCAGCTAAGAAAGTTCAGAGAGAGTTTTCAGGTACCATAAACATTTCGATTGGTGTGCATGTCTGTTTTAGCCCAATTCTATTTCCTAAAGCACTAGGAAAATTTGAAGACAAAATTAAACTTGGAAATGTGCTACTGGTAAGGTCTTTGTTCTCATAGTACCTGAGTTTTTAGTTGATTCTTCCCTGTATCTGGTCAATGTTTTGAGGGTATGCTCTCTTTTAGGAGGATCACAAGCATGAGGACATAGAATAATTGTCTCAAGTCATGTTGGAAATTTGAAATGAGGGAAGGATATGAATGTGAATCTTTTAAATCACTGGACAGTAACATATGGATGGTTACTGAAGGGTTGTCTTCCTTATTGTCTACGTTGTCTGTTCTCCATGAGGTGCTATAATGCTGTTTCTTCACTTGTTGTTGCCTCGCATAAATAGTTAATATTGAGGAAAATGCAGTAGATCTATTCTTGTTATATGTTCTTTGTTACAGGAGCCAAATATTTTGAGTCCAATACAGGATGGAACCAAAAAACCCCAGATAGACAGCAATAAAAGCAATAACTACAACATTGTTAAAGAGGTTGGTGCATCTGTCAAGAAACTCGTTTGAAATACTTGTGCAATAAATTGATTTAGTAATTATTTTAAAATATTCTATTTATGTTTTTATTTAATATTTTATTTCCCTTTTGCCTACATATTTGTTTATTTGTTTACAGATTTTGGTTCGACTCAGCAAACTTTGTGTTCAGAACAAAAAGTGTCGAAATCAGCAGCAGCGATTGCTGAAGAATATGGGTGCCCACTTGGTAGTCTTGGATCTTCTGCAGATACCCTATGAAAAGGTTAGTCTGATAATATTGATGGTAAAGGACATGAACTCAATAAAAGGAAGGTCTCAAAAGATCCACGAATCAATTTGAAAAATTCTTCATGCTAAATTCTGTGAACTGTGCTACAAACGTAAAATAATGATGGATTTCTTTCCGTTGATACTAATGAGATCAGGATTAAGTTTAAGAAGGTAAGACTGTCTACACACTGTTTTATTAGGAGTTAATGTAGTCTGCTTTAGGTTCCTGTATATCACTGTGCTGTCATCCCATTCCTAAAATGTGTAAGCTTTAGAATTGCAGACACACTGTACATTCATAAGTGATGATTCAGGGGAGCTCTTGGCAAAATGTTTAAATTCCTCTGTTAGGTCCTGATATGAATGCTATTGTACATATGTATGATGGAAAAACAAGCTTTCAGGGACCAATTCTGAAATCATTTCAATGTTTCTGTGATGGCCAGCCTCTAACGTAGGTCCACTTGTAGGTTTTCTGTAAAATAATGTGATTTGTATTGATTTAGTGGCTGTGAGCATATAAGTGAATGATTTAGATGAGCTTTTAAATAGAGTATCTTTTTAGATTTTACATGAAGCACTGAAAGGAGATAAAACCTCTAGGCTGCATTTTCCTGACTATAATACATAAATATTATGATAGAGACAGTGGATTCAATATAATAATTAGTGCTTGTTCATACAGGTGGTTCATCATAGTTTGAGTATTATATGAGAGAAATATAAAATCTGAATGAGTCTAGACATATATATTTGTGTAGGTTATTTGTTTAATCACTAATGTGATTGACACAGACATGCATGCATATTTTATGTATAACTATATAACAGCCAAAGGTTTTCAGAAGTTGGGATCATTACAGACTAGTGAGTGCCTTTGAATATCAAACCACTTACCACTTTTTTTTTAAACTAGGAAATGATAAACCTGCACTAGGAAACCATGCTTTGAGTTCAATATCTTTAATGTCTTGCAATTATTACAACAACAAAAAAAAAACGCAGTTCCTCCAGAAATTTGTAAAAGAATGGTAGCTGCAGACTAAGCCATGAGACCTGAGGCTGAGAAAACTGGATGGAAAGAATTAGAAATTTTAGTGCTTGTGCTGTTACCTGTGTCTCCCTATGGTCAAGTAGCTTCACAGTAAGGTACAGTGTTAATGGACTCTAAAGGAAACTGGATAAGTTGCTTTTTCCAGAGGGAGAAATTCCTACCCTATATAGGCTCAGGTTTGTTCCATCTTGAATTCATATAGTGCAGATATATAATGTGTGTTTAGGTATGTCCAGCTGAAGCATTCTTCAATTCTTTCTCCAGAGTGATGAAAAGATGAATGAAGTTATGAATCTAGCCCATACTTTTCTTCAGAATTTCTGCCGAGGAAATCCTCAGAATCAAGTTCTTCTCCATAAAAATCTCAATTTATTCCTAACTCCGGGGGTAAGTATGTCATGTTAAACAAAATATAGAATCAGTGAAAAATGACAGTGCTAAGTAAATAATTTTATTAAATTATGCCTTCTCTACTTCCTCTTTTCTTTCCTATCTTTTCTCCTTTATCATTGCGCTTTAAGTCATTGCTTTTATGTTGCTGTTTTTAAAGTATAAAACAGTGTTACCTATGGGATTTACTGGTAATATCTATTAACATGGATGGTATCATCACATCTTGTGTAGCCTGACTATGATAATTCATGAGGATGAGTTAAAACTCATTCATCCTTACTCACTGACATCTGGACTGTAAGTCAGGGGAGAAAATGCTGTGATCATGCTTTCATGAGGCTTGTATGATAACAAAACCTGACATGTTTTTGTCAATGGTGATTCCATTTGATTCAACTAATATAATTTTTTTCCTTTATTAATCACTGTGTTTGAATTAAACCTCTTTGTCACAGTCCAACTCTTTATATATGTCTGTGCTTACAACTATGATGTATAAAATGACACCTCTTTCAGTGGCAGAACAGCTGAGCATAATATGGTTTTTTTGTGAATATTAGTACAGTAGACCTCTGACCTCTCTACATTACTGAAGGAAGTGTTTATTTATTTATTTATTTGTTTATGAACTTAGTGAAGGGTGCAGGCTTTTCCGTGGGGGGCACTGGATCTCAGATTTCATCGTATCCAACATTCACATTAAGTTCAAGTACCAAGTATGGAGCCTATTTGCTCTTACACATTTTTTCTTTTGAAGCTGATCTTCCAGTCAGCTCAGTTACTGTGCTTTTGTTCATATTGTGGCACAATCATCCTTTCAAATAATGCCAAACATAAAAGTGTGCTCCAGGAGCATACTTGACTTTGGAGGAGAAGTTGGAAGGAGAAGCTCCCAGAACGTATACAGTCTGGCTACTGGGTTCTTAGCAGTATCTCTTTCTTAATAGCTTAATAGATCTGCTCCTGTTGAAGAATTCTATTCACTGATAGAAAAATAACCTTAAGGTCCCTCTGTAATTAATGTGGAAAGAGGTACCCTGTCAGAGAGGGATTGGGCTATGTAAACATTGATTCATGTGCTAGAAATGCCTTCTTCTCTCAACCATAGAGGGTGCCAGAAGTAGGTAAGCAAATTTCTGGAAGATCTCTATGCCAAGTTTAGTGATGAATAGTATCGATGTGGTCTCAATTGTCTTGAATACCAAAGTCCCTATGGAGTGCTCTGGCAGTGTACAGTGTGTTATGAGTGTGTCTTCACCTTTCATACGAGCATAGATTTTGTTAATGTCTACTTTAGGACCATTTTGTAGTCCTAGGAAAAGGTAGAGAAATGCCATCATAAAATCCAGAAATTGAAGTAACCTTAAGGTTACTTGTTAATCTCTGGGCTGGCGGGCACAGGATTCTTCCAGTCATCATTTACTGGTGTGCCTTTCCTAGACTACAGTCTTGTGACTCTTTCAATCTCAAAATAAATCTGCTGTTTTTATTTCTTAGCTTCTGGAAGCTGAAACCATGCGGCATATCTTCATGAATAATTACCTTCTTTGTAATGAAATTAGTGAGAGAGTGGTACAGCACTTTGTACACTGCATTGAGACCCACGGCCGTCATGTGGAATACCTGCGTTTCCTGCAGACCATTGTAAAAGCAGATGGCAAATATGTGAAAAAATGCCAGGACATGGTAATGACAGAGGTAAGTTAATAGTTTGTATGTTAGTTGTTCACATGTTTTTAACACACTAGTGTTCTGAGATTGCTTTCTCCACTCTTATTACCAATAGGATACAATGGCATTGTAGCTTTAGAATTTTAAATAGTATCGTAAGTAATATTTTAGCAATTTAGTCTTTCAGGGAATTTAGTCTAATTTTATAGGGCCATCTGTGTAGATACTAGAAAGAAAACATGGGTGTTATCATATTGATAACAATATGTCTGTATGTAAAAGATGTAACATGTAAATCTGAGTAACGTAAACCTTCATTTTCCCGTGGTGTACTTCAGGATCCCATGTACAAATCCATCTTGCATATTCTGGTATGGTTTTTCCCCCTTGTATGCTCTTATCCTAATGGATTTATCAAAGTAGTTTTGTAGATTACTTCTTAAACTATGTAACCATGTAAAGACCCTTCCTCCTACTTTCTGCTTTTGTTTGCAGTGCTGTAATTCTGGAGCATTTCTGCTAGAGTTTGTAGAGCTACCCTAACTAGATAAACGTGGAGTTTGACCTGGTAAATTCCACGTTGTAGTTTGTGGATGTGTCTTTATGCCAATGATACAAACAAAATACTTAATTGACTTCTCTGCAAGTAGAATTACATGTATAGTGTGCATGATAAATGAGGTCTTTGACTTGCAGGCACTCATGCATTTAACTGTAATTATTTTAAAAGCTCAGTGAGTTAGTGGGTAAAATAGAATATGGTCAAAAGCCCAGGTAAGATCATAGTAACAAACATTTTTCTTTACTTTCAAAGTTCATTTGCGTTTTCAGAGTGCATCTTCAGAAAGAAAACAGAAATAAGCTTTAGTTGTGGTATGAATAGAACTAAAACCTGAAGAAATTTAATTCCACAGCAACAAAGAAGAAAAACTTCTAATTGAGAAAATAAAGCTTTGGCTTACATGGATAACCTTTAATGAAATCCACCTCAACCTTTTCAATTTGACTGAAGTGTTTTAAAATGTAATCTCAATTACAAGCCTTTGATTTACATAATTCAAATTGTTCTTGTGCCTTAGTGCTTTTAGATATTTCCCCATTTACCTTAGCTTCTTATGGGTTTTTACTTTCTGATCAAACGCAGTTTTGAGACTTTCCTCAATTTAAATGCATTTTGTTACCGATATGTAAGAGCAGAAACATAAATTGTTTTATTGCATTTTCAAATTGACTGCATGATGAAAAATGAAATGAACTTGGGTATGACATTTAATCATGTTTTTGCAAGAATGTGCTATGGGAAACACTCTTATTTTTACTGACGAGAGTAAAATCACAGAATCACAGAATGGTAGGAGTTGGAAGGGACCTCTGGAGATCAAGACCAAGCCCCAACTAAAGCAGGTTCCCTACAGTAGTTTACACAGGAAAATGTCCAGGCAGGTGCTAAATATATCCAGAGAAGGAGATTACACAACCTTTCTGGGCAGCCTGTTCCAGTGCTCTGTCACCCTCACAGTAAACAAGTTCTTCCTCATGTTTGTATGGGACTTCCTGTGTTGCAGTTTTTTTCATTTACCCCTTGTTCTGTTGCTACACACCACAGAAAAGAGCCTGGCCTCATCCATTTGACTTCTCCAACTCAAATGTTTGTGAACAGTGATGAGATCTCCCCTCCATCTTTTCTTCTTCATCCTGAACTGTCCTAGGTCTCTCAGCCTTTCCTCAGAAGGGAGATGCTCCAAGCTACTAATAATCTTTATGTCCTCCCACTAGACTCTCTCCAGGATATCCCTTTCTTTTTTGAACTGAGGATCCCAGACCTTTACACAGTTTTTCAGATGTGGCCTGACCAGGGCAGAGTAGAGAGGGAGGATCACCTCCCTTGACTTGCTGGCCTATTTTTAATGAACCCCAGGATCCCATTGGCCTTTTTGGCCACAAGGGCACACTGCTGGCTCATGGCCAACCTGTTGTCCACCACAACAATCAGATCCTTCTCTGCAGAGCTCCATTTCAGAAGATCATTATGATTTGTTAGAAAAGAATAGCAATAGTGAAATTTGAGTGGTGCGTGAATGGCATTGCAGCGTAATAAACAGCGTAGCCTAATGGTTGAAACTGAGATGAATCCAGGACTATTTGTAGGCAAACAGTTGAGATGTACTTTGTGACCTTAAACAAGCAGTGTAACTTTTCTGTGCCTCCAGGTGGGGCGTGTAAACAATTTACCACAAGACAAAAGAGAGTGAATATGCAAGATGCCTGCAACTACTCCTGTGTTTTCTTTTTCCCCTGAGAATTATACCTTATTCCTGTTTAGTGGGAGTAAGGGATAAACTAATCATATTTACATGTTTTAGCACATGCACGCAGATCATTGGAAAGAGTACTTTTCAACGTAAGATACACTGAACATTCCCAGTCTGGCTCATTCACGTGTTCTCATATCTTGGTCCCTATGTCCACAGATTGCTACTGAACTTTACCTACCCGAGATGTCCCTTAGGGCACTTTTTATCCTTACAAGCATGCTTTGAGGTTCCTGGAACAAAAAGTGTCTGCCAGTGCAAAGATTATTACAAAAGGGAAAGCAGAGTATACTTGTGAACCAAATCAATGTGGTAGCAGAATTTTCTATTATCGTAGTGTTTCAGAATGATACCTTGCAGCGGGGTGACCTCATTGCAGCCTTTCACTACATAAAGGGAGCCTACAAACAGGAGGGGAATCAACTCTTTGAAAGGGTAGATAACTGTAGGACGAGGGGAAACGGTTTTAAGCGGAGGGAGGGGAGATTTAGGTTGGATGTCAGGGGGAAATTCTTTACAGAGAGAGTGGTGAGGTGCTGGAACAGGCTGCCCAGAGAGGTTGTGGATGCCCCATCCCTGGAGGTGTTCAAGGCCAGATTGGATGGGGCCCTGGGCAGCCTGGTCTAGTATTAGGTGGGATGGTTGGTGGCCCTGCGTGTGGCAGGGGGGTTGAAGATTCATGATCCTTGAGGTCCCTTCCAACCCTGACAATTCTGTGATCAGCAACTCCTTTCATACTGTCCACCATTCATTATACTTTAATAGAATTCTTAACTCCTTTAAAATATACTTTTGTGGAAGAAAATGTGTTTTTACTACTTTGATTTGTTTTGTTTGTTTGTTTTTGCCCACCATCATTAAGTTCACTGAACTCAGTAAGAACTTCACCTGGTTAGTGCCAGATATGCTTCTCTTCCTTTTCTGTTTTTAGTGAAATCATATTCTCTGTACGGGTCAGTGGATTTCCTTTGCAAGTCACAATTAAAAATAGATAAGTTGGGGAAATATACTAATATCTTCTTGCCTTGCATTTACTTTGTCCCCTTAGCTCTTCCCGTGCTTATGCAATATTATCTGCTTTGATTTGTGGTTCATCATAGTCAGTATGTAGCTAACTTGACATACAGAATCACTTTTCACGATCCAGTACCTTGTGGTATTTCTTCCTCATTCATCAGTGATAGGTACATAAAAGGACAAGGGATCCTTTTGACTTGCCCTTTTATCAGCAATACTGGAACAGATGTGTGTGCATTTGATGTAAGATTGAAAAAAAGGATCTTGTCATTCATCTTTGCAAAACATTCATAAGAGGAAAATAATTATGGGACTGTATTGGTCAACCTAATGGGAAATGACAGAGTACATACCTTCTCGGAGGGCTAGGTATGGATTTTTTTATAATTTTGTGTTTGAAGTGTCTTAAGAATGTAGTATTCCAGATATCAGCATTAAAAATGTCAACTTTCCAACAATTTAAATACTCTCATTTTCCTTATTGTCCTTTTTGTCATTGAGAGTAGTGAAATGTATGACTTCTGAAATGCCATATTGTCTCATTCTTCCCTTCCAAGCATTTGTCCTTCTAAATGTTTCCTCTGTTCAGTGTCCAGAAAATATCTATTTTGAAAAGTCTGAGTGGAAACATTTTAAAATCCAAAGAATAAAAAGGAGGAATAGGAAATGAAGGAGTAACTGAATTCACAGTTCAATCTACACAATTATCAAAGAAAAAATAATCAAGCAGAGAGGAAATCACAGTTTGAAACACTGGAAAAATGTAATGAAATTTTTTCTGAATTTTGTTACTTTTCAGCTCCTCGGGGAGATTAGCTTTCATTCCTTCTCTTGCTGCTTTTCTATTTTTTTACAGCTCCACCAGCCTTTACTACTACCCTTGAATTCAGTAAGCTATGATTTCATGTCACATGCAGACTATGTCATATGCCTTATTCACAAAATACACATGGCTGTTGTGCTTCCAAGTTGCATTCTGCACTAAAAAGGGTTTATGGGAACTTATTTTCACTTCCATTAAGAGTGAACTATGCTTGAAAGGAACGTGATGAAGAGAAGACAGGTCTGCTGTCTTGTCCAAACTCACAGAGCAGCACTGGCAGTAGGCATATTCTACATATGTGTTTGGGGGAGATGTTCAAAACCATATCAGAACATGAGATCTGCTGAGGTGGAGCTGCCAGCATCCATCTCTGCTCTGGATCCTCTTGAGATGAGCAATGTACTTGTAGTAAATTCAAATATTTTTCACATACACCAGTTCGCTGTTAAGTGAAAGTGCTGGAATGACAGTGACAGTGTCAAGACCCGTCTGCCAGATTTCCACAGGTTAGGAAGACTTGTCCTTTGTTTCAGATGCTGAGCAGGGGTGCAGAGTTTAGGTAAATTCTGTGTGAGCCACAGACTTTTTATGTAAGGTGGTACATAAGATTAATATCTCTGTACCTCAAGTACCTATCTGTACAATAGGGAAAATAATGCATCGTGGCCTTACAATAGGATATAAGAGTAATTAATTAACTTCAGACACTGAGATGGTGGGAATAACAAGGATAGCCTAATGTGTTAAGTAAACAGAGAGCTACATAGAGATTAAACTTCAAGTTCACTTTCATGAGCTCATTCCTTGGTGAGTTATTCCAGATTTACACTTATGTAGATAAGAGCAGTTTACCTTGGCCATTGTTTTGACACGTACGTTTGATAAGCATCAGCCTAATTTTTTGTTTTTGGGGGGGCTTTCTAGCTAGAGAATCGTTGTGTACTTAAAGGTAGAGCAAAATAATTAAGAAAATGATTGCAGTGCAGGGTTTTTAAAGTGTTGTGGTATCTTTTTCAGCTGATAAATGGGGGTGAAGATGTGCTGATATTCTACAATGATAGAGCATCATTTCCAGTTCTACTCCAAATGATGTGTTCAGAGCGAGATCGAGCAGACGAGAGCGGACCCTTAGCGTATCACATCACTCTAGTGGAATTGCTAGCAGCTTGTACAGAAGGAAAGAATGTCTATACAGAGATCAAGTGCAATTCACTCCTGCCACTGGATGATATAGTGAGAGTGGTGACCCATGATGACTGCATACCTGAGGTAAGACTCACCGACTGGTGAAGCAGAATTACAATTTTTAGAAACACAGAAATATTTTGCTGTTTCTAATATCCTGAAAAGTTGAGTATTTACGCAGAAAAGATGCTGGAAACAGGTGTTGCTTGTGGAGGTAAATAAATGAGAAAGGATTGATAATATTTTTTTAAACAAAAAACTGTCCCTTTTGCTGCCTGTTGTTAATCAGATTTTTGGATCAGGAGAATTTTTTGTTGTTGTTTTCCTGGATTTGTCCAGCTACTGTTAGAATTTAGTCCTCTGATAAACTTCTGGCTGTTAGTGGCAAAGAGTGAGCTAAGTGATTTGTCAGGCTAATCTTTTTCCTCTGCTTTGAACTGTTGAAAATTCTAGAGTAACATTCTATCCATGTTGAAGTCACTGGGAGTTTGGGGTGAAGTCTTGTTTTATTAAATTCAATTCCAGTCTGGCAAATAACCCTTTTTCTTTGCAAATAGAGGCCTAATTCTGCAGACCAGTCATGGCTAAGTAGAACTGTAGTACTTTGGCCTGATGAGAATGGAAATGCTTGCACCAAATTTGATGTGATCAAAATAAGTCTTCTTACAGTCTATGTGGGACCTTGTTCTGGCCCTGCATATTGGTCAGAAAGATTTTTATAGGTTGTCTGTTGGAGGCATGGGTTTCGTATCCATGTACTCTAGGCCTCACTGAAGTATCTAATTCCTCTGTCCCATATGAAAATCACCTTGTGATCAACTGATTCTTTTCTTATAAAGTAGAATGTTTGCTTTGCTCAAATGGTTCCTCCGAACATGGACGTTAACAGCTGCTAATTAAAAAAGCCCAAACAAATGAAACGTAAAAGTCTGTCACATCTAAGAGTTTTCTGCTGACCTCTTTAAACTGCGACCATCTCTTCTCCTTTGACCATGACAAAGTCTGTATTTAATACATACATTTCAGTCACTGGATATCCATTTTTACGATGTGCTGGCGCAGGTTTTTAATACAGGACAGGAGTGAAAATGCAGTTATCTTCTTAAGTCCTGCACTGCTGTGGCAGTAGTCACAGTGCTGCAGAAGCTTTCTCCTCCATTTAGGTCTGAGTTGTACCTACTCTGAATATTAGCGCTGCGTAGGACTGTCAGAAAATAGGGATTGCAGTCTCATCTCTGTTAAACACCTTTTTTGGTATTTGGCAGGCCTGTCACAAGGCATCAGCCCGCAAGGATCAGCTGATTAATACATGAGTGTCTTCCATTTTGACAGTTCCTGCTCTTTGAGCTAGGCCCTTGTAGTCTGAATGTCATTTTAATATCAGTTATTAACTATTAAATTAATAATTTTATTATTGCTTTGTGGGGGAATTGGTATTAGAGTTTTGCAGAACATCTCTATTTTTCTTAACGTGGTCCATCAGTAAGTACATTAGTGTATCTGTTGCTATGCTTATCTGTTAAATCTTTAGAACCAAACATACAGTATTACTCTTATTGGCATTTCTTAGAATTGGAAGGATGATCTTATTCATTCAGTATTCTTACATACAGAAAATATGTATGTTAATGGCTTCTGTTCTGTTTCATATTGTTTCTGTGTTTGCTCATCCTGCAGGTGAAAATTGCCTATGTTAATTTTGTTAACCACTGTTACGTGGACACTGAGGTGGAAATGAAAGAAATCTATGCCAGTAACCACATTTGGAAGTTATTTGAGAACTTCCTTGTTGATATGGCAAGGGTAAGTTTCATGAGGTATTATATATTGCAGTATAGTCAGGGGTGACAACTGAACTTCATGTGAATTTCATTTATTTTATCCACTGCTTTTTCAAAGTTGAATATAAATATATTTTTAACAGATCATCATTTCTATTTTATTTTATTTATCATCATTTAACCTGCTAATTGCTCATAGTCTTCTTTGTCTAGGAGGGCACCTTGGAACCCATGTCCCTTTCTCTTTACTTCCAGAAAAATAAATTGGATGCCTGGGTTTGATACACAAGAAATAGGGTTGAAAACATTCTGTCATTCTATTGGGAGTGTGCATTACTTGTCATTATGGTGGTAATTAAAACAAACAAACAAACAGCCACATCTGTAATCTCCTAGGTTTACTCTCTTAGTACAGAGAGGATCAAGGAAAAGAAATTCTTTGTCTCCTGTTTCTTCTTTAATTTGACCTTGGCCTTTTTTTTTTTTTTTTTGGTCTTTTATTCTGCTGTCACTACATTCTCAGTGCTGCAAAAGGCAGGTGTACAGCTCTACTTTTTCAGAATACTAATCAGTGTATAAATGATCAGCTTGGAGGTGATGGGACATAGTTGGTAGAGTAGGCATTCAATTCTCTAGAATCACAGCATCATAGAATATCCAAAGTCCAACTCCAGGCTCCACACAGGACTACACAAAAATCAGACCATATATCTGAGAGCATTGTCCAGACACTTTTTGAACTCTAGCCAGCTTGGTGCTGTGAGCACTGCCCTGGAGAGCCTTTTCCAGTGCCCAGCACCCTCTGGTAAAGAGCCTTTTCCTGATATCCAACCTGACCCTTCCCTGTTACAGCTCCATGCTGTTGCCTTGGGTTCCATCAGTGGTCACCAGATAGAGTTGCATCAAGTTTCAAGTCGTAAGTGATATTAAACTTCCCTCTCCTGATACTTTGGAAGAAATAAAACTGGGAAGCTCATGACTTCCAGAAAGATAGCATGCCATAGAGGAACCAGGAGGAGAATTTAGTGTGACATAATGAGTACAGCTTGCAATACCTATCCTTTTTCTAGCAAGTCGTATTTCTTGTAAGATCCTGATATTGATATCTGTTAAAGGAGTTGCTCTTTCTCAAGAAACACAGGTGTTTATTTTTTTATGCTGGTGGCCAGTGTTTGACTGCTGGACAGTATTTTGGAAGTGCTATAGAGCATGTTGTCATAGTGCATGCCTATCCTTTCCCTGTCTGTGGTCCATTACATTTCATAATCCATCAGGTTCTCACTCCTTGCATCTTTCATTTTGTTGAAATTAGAGAAGAAAAGGAAAAAGAATCTCAATTCAGTCCTGCAGCAAACATTTACACCAGAGTAATAGTGTGCCACAAAATCGTTTCTTTGAAACCTATTGGGAGAAAATACCATACTCACAGTCACAATGATTTATGGCCAAAGGAAGAATGAGTGCTGAGACTTGCACTGTGTGATAGGCACAGGGCCTGTTCATTTTTCTGTGAAACGGAAAACTTATAAGTGTCTTTATTTTTTGCCTTTTTTTGGACACAGATTAACACAGGAATATTTGTGTTCTTTTTTGATGGTAGCTGTTTTCAGCAGTAATGAGACCTCTGCAAATTCAGTTTTCTTGCTGTTTGCCTTGTCTCTTGGCTGAAAAGCCCTTCTGGACATACCCACTTCATTTGCAAATTAAGATCAGGAACATTCTTGGAGGGCAATTCTGTTTTTTAACCTTGCTGCTTTTCCCCCAAGAAGTATTTTCTCTTGCTTAAATCCTTTTCTGAGTTGCCCTTTCCTGATATATCATGGTACTGACCTTCTGACGAGACTCCCCTCCCCAACTATTTGACATGATCAGTTTTCCTTGCCCGTTGGCCTAAAGCAGATACAGCAGAGAGGGGACTCTGTCCACTGTTCACTTTGTAAGCCTGGAGACATGCTGCCATGTGATCTGGAATTATTCTGATGCTGGTGAGCCTTGAGCTTGTTTTCACATATTTTGCTAATAGGACAAATTTGGCTCCAGGTCTTCAGAGGTGAATATTGAGTGTTTTATTAATGCTATATTTTGTGTGTGTGCTTTTTTCTCCAAATGGCAAAATGCAGTTTTATTTTGCTCTCCTACAAAGTCCTTAGGGCAAGTGCCTAATTAGCCCTTTTTATTAAGGTTATCAGTGAAAAGAAGTAAAAGAACATATCCAAAGTGCTCTGGCATGTTCTGCTCTTCTGCCAGGCCCCATGGGTAGCTGTATCTTCTATGTTATTGAGTGTATTTGGTTTTCTGGGTCCCAGGCAGAGCCTGTGAGTTATAAATACATCAGCTTTATGTAGCTATCAGGACGGTTAGAATGCTGTCAGCTTCATGAAAGATGTTACAATACCTTTCAAAGCATTTAGAAAAAGAGCCCTTTGATCCTCTGTGTTGCAGTGAGCTAAAAGAGATGCTTTTGCGTGGGGGAAGGGGAAATGCTTTCCTTTTAGCTGCTACAAATGGCTGTCAGTGGGTGAGTTTGTGAGCTTTGAGTCTGAGTCTGTCATTAGAGAGCACTAAGGTGAAAGATGGAGAGTGTTATCCTCAGGTTGAATTCCTTCAACCCGAAAAAAGAAGTAAGAAAAAAAGAAACCATTTTTTTTGTCTGTTGCTAGACCAAAGAAGGAAATATTTAGTCCTCAACTGTCATTCTTTTTCAACACTGTGATACCTTGCAAAACAGGCAGTCGGCAGATGTGTGTATTAAATTCCATTTGCCAAAAGCAATTGCTCTTTCAAAGACACCTTTTTCTGCTGTTTCTGCCAACCTACTTTCTCCCGTGTATGACTGAGAGCGCATCACAGAGCAGGTGGGAGCAGCTCCAGGAAAGGCTTCCCGTTCCCACAGGTGGCTCGTTCTGTAAGTCAGCAGCTGTATTCTGAGCAGGATTAAAAACAGAGCTGAGATCTGACAGCTGTGAAGTCATCGTGACTTTCTCCTGCAGAATTTTTGAAATATTATTCATGTGAGTTTTGGTCCCAAAGTCTCTTAAGAGGTTTTTAAACACCGCTTCCTCAATCTTCATCTCCATTTCATGCATTTCAGGTTTCTTCTTCCACAGAGAAACATCTTTCAGTCCCCAGAAGGGCAGAGGGATAAGAGCAGATGAGAGGATTTCCAAAGTCCTTCTGAGATGGGAATTTTTCAGACCTGTGTCGAAGCAGAGTGGTATCCCCACATATGGCTCTGCCATGCTTATTCACTTTTAGACAAGTGAAGGGAAAGCTTAACAGCATTTTGGAATTTAGGTTTGGTCATTTCTAAATTCGCCATGCTAGTGCTGCACAGCTCACTGTCTTCCATTGGGATAACAAATACTCAGCCTCAGAGCTACTGGTTCCAGTCAGAACTGCCATGCGGATTAATTAAAAGCAGAAGAACATCATGAAGTTTTCAGTTCTGTGATATTTTATTTTTTTTTCCCCAATTAAGTTTTGATTATATATCTCAATATTATCCTTCCATGAGGACCACAGAAGAGGAGCTGTGATGCTCTTCCCAAACTGGAGGGCTGAAATGTTTGCTGTTCCGTTTTAGCCACTGTTGGTTCTCTGACCAAAATCTTTCCTTTCCTGAGGTGATAAGATTGCACTATGTGGAGACATGACTTGTTTTTCTGACGCATTTCAGAAAAACAGACAAGCAAAGCTCCCCCAGGTGCCTAATTCTTGTAGCTCTCAAGTTACCTTTGGTTATTTCTCTGCCTGCCATATGACACTGCTTTTGTGTTCCTGTGAGCCGTATCTTGCACTGCACATGGGTGCTTTTAGATGTCACATCAGTAACCTTCCTTAAAGTGCTGCTGGTGAAATTGCTGTCTTGTGGTGTCCAAGTGTCACAGCGTAATTAGAGGGCGTATTTGCCCTGTGTGAGATTCAGGTGCTGTGTATTATGTCTCTAGTTCTGCCACCCACTTTTCTTCGTGACCTTAAACAATTCACTCAGCTTCTCTGGACTTCTGTTCCCCATCCATAAGGTGATGTAATGATAACTAATGTGCAGATTCATGGTTTTGTGTTAAAAGCTCAGATAGTTTGAAGGTTACCCCAGAAGTCTATAAACAAAATAAATTCTGTTCTTGCATAGATTCTCTAGAACGTTGCAGAAGTCTGTGGCTTGCATTGGTGAAAAAGAATAATTTTGCCTTTCATTTATTTTTAAACCTAACTAGAACTGTTTATTTGAAGGCTAATGAAGAGGTAGGATGAGTATGATCTGTATGCCGTGTTTGTCCAGTGTTGCCTTTCTCACCCTGACTTGCTTTATGTGGACTCCTTTTAGGATTCCTTTTAGTACAGTTTGGACTGACATATGCAAAGTAAAAATAACTCTGTATAGATGTTCACAAATGTTGAGGGGGAAAAAAAAAAAAGAGAAGAAATACTGAAGCATGTATGTACCATGCCAGTAATGTTTTCCTTTCTTTAAACTTGACATCTTTATGCAGCAACAAACTTTTAATACTGTGCCAAAGAGTGTCTTTAGGAACCACTTCTACAAATCTGCCCATATCCTCCTACAATTTAATCATCTTTCTGCGCTCCAAAATTGTCCCAGTGATATCCATTCTCTTCTTTCGTTGTTTTTATCCTGTCTTCTCTATTTTCCTCATGTGGCTTTCTTAATTAATGTTGTCTGCTTAAAATCTGGAAGGCTGTATTGTCTATGCTATTTTCTTCTCTTTCCCTCTTTTTACACATTTGTTTTTTGCATATGAGCTTCACCCTTGCCACTCATTTGTGTTGAATGTGGCAAGAAGATAAACATTACCTGAAATCTCTCTAACCTAATGTGTTTTTTCAGTCTGTCTCTAAAACCTCTCCCAGCTTACCTCCACAATGGAAGGGAATGTTCGTTTTCTTCTTGAATCTGTGTAAATATGTAGGTGATATGCAGTGTGCTGATTTAGGGGGATCTTTTTTTTCATGGAAAGAACAGACAGACAACCAGAAAGATTTAGTTCAGAAGAGAATGAGATTTAAAATACAGTGTGGACCTTTGAGAAGGGAGATAAGCTGTAACAAACACATCTCTAACTCGTAAGATAGTTATCTCTGATAGATTTTCCATAAAATCTATACTAAGAATAAATATTATTACATGGGTTGTAACAAATACTGAGCCACATAGTTTGCTTACTTAAAAGTTCTAAATCTCATTGTTTCCTCCTTCTATCCTGTAGGTTTGTAACACAACCACAGATCGTAAACACGCAGACACATCTCTGGAGAAATATGTCACTGAGCCTGTAATGAGCATTGTGAGTGGCTTCTTCAATTCTCCATTTTCAGATAACAGCACCAGCCTCCAGGTAAGAAGAAGAGAGACAGACCAATATGTAATTCAGCCCATTAATGAGATACCTTCTGCTAACGACATAGGAATCCTGTATCTTTGTATCCTTCTCTAATTTCTCTGTCCCTTCTCATGCCACTGGCTGGCAGCTTAATTTCACTTCAAATCACTTACTCTTCATTTTTACTCTTTACATCTCTGACCAGCAGACAGCTCAATGCTGGCTCTTGTGGATTCACCGGATGGGCTATGTTTGCAGAATAAAGGTTTATCTAGTTGCTTATACAAAAAAAAATGCTATGTCCTATGGCACATGTACATACACCTGAGAACCATGAAGATTCCTCAGTCCTTCTGCTCTGTACCGTGCTTGATATCAGTGGTAATCTGATGGCAAATTACATGCTTTGGCCTGTGTAGTAGTGCAGAATTGGTCTGCATTCTTCCTGTCCTGAAGAGCAAAGAGAATTTAATTTAATTTAATTTAATTTAAGCGTACAAGTTAAAAAACCCACACATGAGATTTATGTTGTGTCAAACCTCAGGACAGTTGTGAGGACATTCTAAAGTATAAACTTCCATATTTGTTTTTTTGATTTTAGACACATCAACCTGTTTTTATTCAGCTACTGCAGTCTGCTTTTAGAATTTACAACTGTACCTGGCCAAACCCAACTCAGAAAGCCTCAGTGGAGTCATGTATCAAAACTTTGGCTGAAGTGGGTAGGTGCCAAATTCTACCTTCATTGTTGTTCTCTGTGTTTTAAGATCTGACTTACCTGAGATTGAATGTTTATGCTTTTGGTTTAGGTTTTTGATTACAGCACTGCATAGTTGTGATGGTAATAATTTAAGGAATCTCACTTTAAGGTTAAATTCTGCCACATTTTATAATGTTTTCAAATCTATTCCATCAAATAGGGCTGTTAGCTGAACCCGTCAGCCAGAGAAGTGGGTTTGGTAAATGAATTATATTTACTCAAGATAGTTATGGTATTAAAACACAACCAAAACTTCTGAGTATGAGAATATCTGGGCATTTCTAGTTGTGCTGTAATGTTGTAAACAGTGACACTTAGGAATTATCAGAGAATACCATCTTTTTTTTCCCCTGGGCTTGTCCCCTTAGTGAGTCTCCCTTTTTTTTTTGTCCCCTCAGTGAGTCGGGGATGGAAAACAGAATTCTCTAACTCCATAGCTTCTCTGCTTTCTCTTCACCATCAGACCTATGCATTTACTGCTATTACATGCGTATTGGCTTGCACTGGCACGAAGACTTAAATCATATTTGGTCCCAAGGGCAGCAATAAGTTACATGCTTTGAAATGAATTCAAATAGTACATTAAAGTCGAAGACTTAAAACTACTTCAGGAGTGATTCCATCCTAAAATAAAAAAAACAAAACAAAACATTCTTCACCTGTATATAAACAAGACTGGTAAAAGTTCATTCATAAGTTACATTTCTGTGAACATAATTTTAAAGTTTGCCACAAAAGGAAAAAAGATTATTCAAAATAGTTTCTGTAGAACTAAGAAAATAAGGTTCCACTCAGCATGAATTAAAGGCAGAATTGTATAGAAACTGGCTAAATGTTATAGCTGATGCAATTTTTAAGTTAATAAATAATGATAAAACAAAATGAAAGGGTCCCTTAACTATCTGCATCTTCTGTGACACTGCAGTGATCAACTCTAAATTTAGATTTTGAGATAGCTTTAGAGGGGTATAATTTAAAATTTTAGTCAAAATACCTCTAACCTACCTTTTTGTCTGAGTGAGAATAGCAGTTACCTAAAGACTTAGCAACCTTCAGTTGTTTTGTTTGTTGTGCAAATGATTTAATCATGGATCTATCTGACAAGAGAACTTTGAAAACTGAAGACATTTTATTTCCTTTATCTCTTAGCTACTACAGCTCTAGCCTTTGTGTGTTTAACACTTACTTCCTTGCTCTCCTCTGGCACTTCTGGGAAGAGTCATCAGTAAATTACTTTCTTTGGGAGTCTAAGGAAAGAGGGAAGAAAGTAAGGCAGATGAGAGTTTTTGAGACCAACTATACCCTATGGATACTTCTAGACAGCTCCATCTCTACAATTCTATGGAACTATACCTGAAAAACAAATTTTATCTCAGAGAGGTCACAGAGAAGAGGGTATGTAGAGTCACCCGAGCCTAGCGCTGAAACAGCCAACCTGAATCTGTACCCATAACAGCCAGATGGGCAAAAAGTGTGAATCACCTTGATGGAAGTGGTCTACAGTGTGGGTTGGTTGGTTGGTTGGTTTGCTCGTTTGTTTGTTCGTTTTTTAAAGTATGCCTTTGTGCTGTCCAGCCTTCTTGCTTCTCTGGCTTCGTGCTCATGGGATCCCGCCCATCTCTTGGGCATTCTCAGATGTGGAAGTAGAGCTGAGCTACCACTGAAGGGCCTCACCCTGTGTCCTCCTCTGTGACTTCCATGCTACCAGCAGTGGCAGTAGGACTGGGAGCCTGTGGGTGACGCTGGTGTGCCATGGGTCTGGCAGCAATGGGGCTGGCCCCTGAAAGCACATTTTAGCATGCAGTTTGTTGATTTCCTTGTCCATATTATAACTGCTTAAGGATTCGTTACTGGTACCAAAAGCGAACACTGTACAATTGTATCATAGCAAATTACCACAGTTTTTTTTATTTGGCTTCTTATTCTGTCTGTCAGTACCAAAAGGGAGTAGAAAGCAATTGTTGAAGGGGATTTCCCAAAAGAGCAAGGTAGAGGTGATGTGGAAAATGGAGTGTTTTAACAAACATGCTTCCATAAAAGTTTTGCTAGCTGGGTGAGATTTTAGCCTTATGTGATACTTAGCATTTTCAGGCATGGTGCCAAACATGGCTTGCCTTTTCTAATTGAGTAGGCCTGTTCAGCTCTACTGAAAGCTTTGGAAAAACTACCCCAGTTGGGGGTACTGAAGGCTTTTAAAATCGAGGCCCTTGTAATTATTGTGTGTACCAAGTTTCCTTGTCTACTGAGTGTTCAACCAGCACAAAATGGGGCTTTTTGAGAAGGCATAGGTTTCTTCCATAATACAAATAGGCCAACCTTTCCTTTCCTTTTTTTTTTTTTCTTTTTTCTTTCTTTCTTTTTTTTTTTTTTCTTTTTCTGGCTGTGTATTTGGACTGGGTTTGAATTTTGAAATTTTGGCTAGGCATCTGTGAGCACTCTTCTGCTTTTTTTCTTTCTTTTTCTTTTTTTTTTTTTTTAACTTGAGAGTCTGACAGCTTTAATGTCAGGGCCTTCATGTTTCACAGCAGGGTTTAAAAAAAACACTCTAGAAAGATTTTGCCTAAATCAGAGAGATAGAGTACTGGACAGATTTACAGCAGAGACGAAAGACTTTTGATGGAAAATAAATGTAGTATAGAGTTGAAAGAACAAACATGATTTTCTAAATTTTTTTTTGGTAGTAGCCCTGGATTTAGAAATGAATCTCAGCAGGAGGAGAGATCATACACAGATTTCCCAAGATATCAAAGATCCATATAATAATGCACTTTTAAAAGACCCATTTTGGAGCAAGTTTAAGCAACGTACATTCTGCTCAGTGCTTACTAGTTACGTTGCTGGCAAGTAGATATAAATATTGTGTTAAGAGTTTAGAATCTGTCTTCTTATGAGCACTGTAAGAGTGTACATCTTACAGGTCAAGAAGAAGATATGTTGCAAAAGCTGATTTCTTATAACCTTGGTACTTCAACTCCATCTGACTACCAGAGAAAAACTTCATAAGCTTTTCAAGCTTCACTTGCGTATTTGTCTCCAGGCAGTTCTCTGCCTCCAGTTCAGCAGGAAGTATACAGGCTTGCTTGCATTTTTCAGCAGACCCTTCTGTGACTCCAAGGGATTTGGAACACGAAGATACCAATACACTTGAATTTTTGTTGCTTAGTAAACAGTTGCTTACACTGGCATGATTTAAAATAATTACAGAATAATATATATATATAGTAATACTTCTTATTCATGTGAATTTTTGAAGCATATAATCACTTTAACTAAATTAATACATTATAAATAAATCACTTCTGCATTTTTATGTTATCACATGGCACTGATCTTTTGCTTGAAAATACAGTCCAAAAATGAATGATCAAAATGGTTATCTTGACAGCAAGATGAAGCTACAAATGAAAATTGTTTAAAAGGTCCCTGATCCTTGTGAAAGCAAAGGAGCTAAGAAGACCAGTATTTATTTTGTTTTGAGTGAATTCATTATCAAAGGACTTTCAGTTCCTAGATCTTATAATTTTTTCAAGATTGAGGCCAGAAGGATTGTCGTTTAAATCATCTGCTATGTTTCCATATGGTAATACCAAGGAATGTCACCTGTCTTCACTACTAAAGATCTTGACTGTGTCTTAAATGGTATGGGAGCAGGTTTGTTCTTCCACAGCTGACCAGTCTTCCAGGCCCTCTGCAAAAGCTGCCTTTGCCTCTTAGACCTTCACCCCTGAGTATGAGTTTTTGCTTTTGTTACAAGGTTGAAGCACCTCAGTGTACTGAGCTACATGTTGTGTTGTACTCTTGTTCTAGTATTTGTTAGCTTTATCCTCTGTATTTTCTGCAAATTGCATCTTCCCTTCGATGCTGCGTGCACGCAAAGGATATTTTAAGTAGCATTTGTGTGACTGCTATTACCACCAATAATGAAATAATGAAATAATTAGAATTTCCAGGTGAGTAAACAGTGGCAGATAGTAACTCATATTTTGTTAGGCTGTTTCTCTTGGCAGACCTTTTAAAAAATCTATTAGCATGCCAAATCACATTACTCATTATCAGATCATACTCTAGGATTTTGTGCTGGAAAAGCAAAAGAATCGTTCAAAACAAGAGGCAAATTTTGTCAGAATACTTTTTTGAAAGTTCAAATCTCCAACAGAGTACAGAGGACAGAGGAAGTACAGAGGAAGTACTATTGTGATAAGCAGGGGAATGGAGAACCGTGCGACAGGAGGAGGCTTTATGAGAGTTCCACATATTTTCCCTTGCAAAATAAAGACCTGTATTGTTAGTACTTAGGAAGATCAGCAGTGGCAAAGAAGAGACATGTAAGCTAAAGGACAGTGCTGATACAAAACCAATGTTATTTAAAATATGTGAGGCTGTAAGTAACCTAAGTTATGTTTCATTTTGAGTGAGAGGCGTTCATGAGAAGTGTTCATGAAAAGAGAAAGTGGCAGCAAATGCAGCTTTGTTTTATATGGAGCTTGGTACATTTTGAAAAAAGATTTAAAAATGTGACTTGTCTGTAATGAGGGAATAAAGGTCCGAAGGACTGGTTGAGTCCTTTCTAGTTATGTTTATTCTCCATTTTCAGCTCTCTGTTACCCCATTAAGGCTGTGCAGAACCAAAAAAATAACTTCCTGTGATGCTTCTTGACTGTACTTGTACGTGCTCTAACAACCTTTCCAATTTCCCTGTCAGATCACACAAAGGAAACATTAAAGTCTAGGATACATTTTCTTGCTTCTGTGGAATTATTGCTCTTGTTTTAATGTCCATGCTGATGAACTTCCCCTAACCAGTTTTTTAGCCTTGAAAATACTTTGCTCCTCTTCCTATTTCAGTTTTCCATTTTATAAAAGCTAGACCTTCACTTTCAGTTTTTAGTTCAAATAAGATAATTATCCTGTTGTTACTTTTTTGACAGCAAGAAGAGTACATTTCAGAAGAAACACATATTTTATTCTATTTTAACTGTTTGTGTTTCCCTAATTGCAAGAAAAATTCAATGATGATCTTTTTACAGACTGATAAATATTTTAATGTAGATTTTCTGCTGGAAAAAAAAAAAACATCTGAGTGAAGGGTGCAAGACTGGCAGGCTTGTGTCTTGTCTACACAAAGCTTTTATTTTCCTTAAAAAGTCATGCTGTTGCTAGCATTAGTGTCTCTCCATCCAAATGCATTTGTTAAGCAGTCAGTAAATGATTAAGGAGCTGCAGGGACTGATTTATGGAGCCAAATTAATTGAACTAAATATGCATATATCTGTTAAGTGACAACTGGGGAAGATGGCAGAACATGAGATAGCTGTCTGCAAGTACAAGAGGGGTATAAAATGCAAGGAGAGTAAGGGACTCACAGCTAGGAGCAGCCGTGGTGGTTTTGTGACCCAAATTCTATGTCCCACTCCTCCTTCAGGAATTCTAAGGCCGTGAAACCCTGGTGAGTGCGTCCCAAAACCTACATTAGGGATTGCTTTATGTAGCACAAAATGCACTAAACAGTGGGAAGCTATTAAATACTATATCATCCAAAGCTAATGGAGCAAAATTTAAAATTAGAAAGCACAAGGTGGGAATATCAAGGAGAATTAAAAGCTTCCTTACAGCAAGATGTGTTACTCTGAAGAATAGTTTTCCAAGGAAAATTACAGATAAGGACCATTTCCTGGAAATCCTTAGTACTAAATCGATCCTACTCTCAGGTAGACGGCATAATGAAAAGACAGCATATCAGTAAAGATTCCACTTCCATGTTCTCTGATTCTGTGAAGACATGTACATGCAGGTAATTTAACAAAATACAATGTATTCAGCCCGTTTCAGCCCTTCTCAGCAGCTGGAGTGTGCTACTGGAACTTCTGTGGAGCCCAGCTTGCTTGTAGAGAGAGGCCTGAATTAAACTGCTAATGATTCTCATCATTACTGTTCCTCTTTTCTTTTGTGTCCCCATCTCACACTACTTTTTCATAGCTGAAACAGAAAAGGAGAGGCAAAGCTGATGGGACATTGAATATGCCCACAACCACCCAGCGTGGAGCAGAACATCTTGCTATGGCCTACCTGAATTTGGGCACTGCTGCTTACCATTTCTGCTGGTGACGTTTGTTCACTTGTCTTGGCTCAAGTGCAGTTATTGCCACTACTCTTGTGAGTGACCTTCAGCAAATCACAGTTATTCTGGCATTGGCAAAACAGTGTAGTATATTTAGAATGTGACTAGCCCTGTGTAGAGTGCCCTAGCTGGGACTGATGCAGTGTGTAAGCAGGCACCTTGACCTCATTGCAAGGCAGATTTTTGCCCAAGCTGATGATATGTGCTAGTCCATTGTGGTAAGTATCCTGCTAGATACCAATGGTACCAGTTTACATATGGATAAGTAGCATGCTTTTTTCCTGAGTTCACCAGTCAAATGAAGAACAGAATTTTACCCCCTCCTCATTCCTTCTTCTACCAGCTCTAACCCTACTTTGCAAGTTTGAGTGCTGTCCAAAAGTATTTCTAAGTGGAACAAAAATAAACATGCTTTTAAATATTTTATGTTCATGCTTTCAGGGAGATTGACACATTTTGAAGAGGAAAGCAGCCTACAACACCTAAATTAAAAATAAATATTTATGCTCACATTTGTTCATCAGCTTTCCAAAATGTAAAAATATGTTTCATGTTGTTTTAAATAATGAAATGTGAAACAAATGAAAGATAAACTTTCTACAAGCTGCAAAGAAATAAGAAGACAAAGGCTTTGTTTACAGCTTAGACTTCAACAGTGCCCTTTGACAACTAATACAGATCTTAATTACAAATGGAATTATACATATAAAAACTGCTCGAAACAAAGGAATATTTTTTTTTCTCTCTCTGGTTTTCTTTGTGATAGTTTTAATTAGCTGCAATGCTTTGAACAGTCGTAGTCCTTGACTGCAGCTCAGACGTTGATGGAAGCTGTTAACTTCAAATGGCATCTGTAGGACTGCAGAAGTCTGGGTTTTCCTCTGAACAGTGTGCTCCCCATTGCTAAATTTATTCCTGGATGTATCAGAATTCTGCATACATATCACTTAATTGAGAAGTATGCGTTGTCTGATAATATTCTAGTGATTGACATTAGGAAACAATAAATTGGATTAATAGGCAACAGCACCCTAACCACACTGGCAGAACATTAATAGACTTCTTTAATAATGTAAGCGGCAACAGGACAGATGTGTTCTGAAAAATAACCTGGGCAAGTAACATGGAAAAATAGTCATTAGAAATAATGACCAGCCACATGTAGCATTTTCCTCATGATAATTGAGAACCTTGCCTTCAAAACAAATGGAGAGTGGGAATGAAAAGTCAACTGCCAGTGCTGAAACTGCCATACTTCTGGTGATGATGATTTGCATATGGTTATTGGGAAATGTCTTCCTATCTTGACCTAAACAAAAATGTCTTTAATTTCCTACTGCAGACTATTTAAAAGAAAGTACCAGCTAGAAATAGAGCATTAGAGTTCTCTTACATCCCATCTAAATGGCCTGGGATTTTGCAGTTGAGCCTGACCAGCAGGTGGAGGCCCTGGTCCTGCCACAGGATACACCCTTGTGGGAGCCAAGGCAAAGAGAGTAGGGTGTGCTGGTGAGAGGTACTGAGGGAACGAGGATGCCTATGACAGCACACTTGCTATAGTCTCTGAAGTTGAGGGTTGAGGTATCACAGCCACTTTTAGGTTTATTCTAAATACTGTCATTACAGTATAGTGTTGAGAGGAAGAGAAAGTTTCTGCCTGGGATCCATGACTCACTGTGCTTGGCAAGACATGAGCCTTCATTCATCAGAGCTCTAAGCATGACTCTGTGCTTGCAAGTACTCCTGTTTGGTTAGATGCACAGTCTGTTTAGGAAAGAAGGTCATCTACTGACATCACAAGTTCAGGACCTGAAGTTGTATATGTTTTAGGAAATAGGAGGGAGAGGTGTGATATTTTTGATGCCTTCCTCTTCTGTGCAAAGCATGCATGTCAGTGCAGAAGGGGGGAAACGCCTCAGAGAAATGACGTGTTGTGCAGAACTTTAATGTGGGCCAGTGCTTTTAAAAAAAATCCACCTCATTTCAATAAGGAAAAAAATAAATTAGTTATTGCCGGCTTATGGTAAAGAAACACAAATGAGGTAGGGCTATTTCTCAGTTTTTACTAAGCATAAACTTAGCCATGGAAATTAAATGAAATGGCATACAATATGAAACCTAATCATTTAAATGTGACCTGATCTTTCAAATAGAAGTATTGCTGCATCAATCTCTTGTTTGTTTGTCGAATTTCAGACAATTCATGCAGAGCCTTAGAAGAATATCACTCTGATCTCAGGTGAAATAGAGATACAGCTAATGCAAACATATTCAGAAAGGAAAGGGCAGCTATCTTCTAGCACTGTCTTTTGGACTTACTTTTCAAATGACAGCTCTGTATGCATTGGGAATTCAACATTGCATGCTCTGTAAAAATTGGAGCAAGTCTTCACCCAGGTTGTTTTTTTTTCTCTATTATTCTCTCTTTTATCACTTTCCATCTTACACCAAAGCCTAAAAAAAAAAAATAATTAAAAGAAGTCGAATTATTGATCTGTATTTGCCAATTGTATCTGCTTATCAGTTATATTGCAGTGGTGTCCACGAATCTCATGACTTAACAGCTCTGTCTGTATAGGAAATTGAAGGAAGAGAAAAGAAGATCTTTCAAATTTAATTTGTATACGCTTGGTTTCTCAAGGTCCTTGCAAAAAAAAAAAATAGAAAAGCAACAAATAGCACGTGGGATAAATTAGCAAGTTGTGCATATGTCTGCTAGGAAGGACTTTTGAATTTACTCCTGAATACAGAAAAAATAGCTTTGCTGCATGTTCACTTTGTTACTCTTGTTAGTATCTCTGGATCTGATTCTTTTTTTTTTTTAATGAGTTGGTAACAAAAATAATCTGTCTTTTAAAAATAAGTGTCTGTGCCTGTGAAACTATATACTGGAAACCATTCGCAGCTCATTTTAAGTGGTTCAGCTCTCTGTCTTTAACTAGATAACAGCTGATTTCTACCAGCTTAGGTCTTGATCCTTATTTTTAAAACTTACTGAAGTGAAATCCCACTCTCAGTCTCTCCCCTCAGCTTCTAGAGAATCAGGATTTTGCATGCCGTGGTTTACAGAAAACTATGAAGTTTTTCTCACTCTAGATGCCTTCTTTCTTTCTCTTAAAGCGAAGAACCGTGGGATTGCAATTCCAGTGGATTTGGACAGCCAGGTCAACACCTTGTTCATGAAGAGTCACTCTAACATGGTGCAGAGGGCAGCCATGGGGTGGAGAATGTCAGCCCGCAGCGGACCACGTTTTAAAGAAGCTCTTGGTGGGCCTGCCTGGGATTACAGGAACATAATAGAAAAACTACAGGTACAAAATAGCAAATGGCTTGGGTTGGTAGTAGCTGTGTATTTATCTGTGATGTGTCAGCAGTGGAAAACACCACAGAGAAACTCATTGCCATTTTAGTGCTGGAATACAGTGAACCTTGAACTTGGTGGTGGTGGAAGCAGGGTTGAGCTCCTGTTTGGTGTCTGTTCAAAGTAAAGTCAATACTGAGAGACTTTTGATCTGTGATCTGAATTCAGCTCATACAGAAGTCAGTAGAGAGGCGTTGGAGCTTTGCTTTTGTTCCCTAAGGTGATCCACAGAGAAGGATCTCCCTTCTGCCCTGTCACAGTTGCAAGTTCTTTTTGGGGTATGGAGGGAGGTCCTCTGGTTTATAGGAACCATTATGTCAGGTTTCTTTCACTAGAGATTACTTAAAACATGGAAATCATCTTGTGAAGGTAGTGGTTAAATGACATCAGGTGTTTATGAAAACCAGCAGGACTCAAATAAATAGAGGTGCCCTACATACTCAGGAAGCAACATTTTAGGTGATACGCTAACATCACGTATACAGAATGCAGTGCATTTCCAGTACACCACCATAGAAACATCACAGAATCATAGAGCAGTTTGGGTTGAAAGGAACGTTTAATATCACCTAGTTCCAACCCCCTGCTATAGGCAGGGACACCTCCCTCTAGACCAGGTTGCTCAAAGGCCCATCCAGCCTGGCTTTGAATGCTTTCAGGGTGGGGGCATCCACAACCTCACTGGGCAACCTGTTCCAGTGTCTCACCACCCCCACAGTAATGAATTTCTTCCTCATATCTAGTCTAAATCTACCCTCTTCCAGTTTAAAGCCATTTCTCCTCATCCTGTTGCTATAAAAATATATTCCTTATATACATCCCTTATATGTTCCTTTATATCCCTTATAAAAAGTCCCTCCCCAGCTTTCCTGTAGGTCGCCTTTAGGTACTGGGAGGCTGCTATAAGGGCCTTCTGGAGCCTCCTCTCCTCCAGGCTGAACAGCCCCAGCTCTCTCAGCCTATTCCCCAGGGGGAGGTGCTCGAGCCCTCTGATCATCTTCGTGGCCCTCTTCTCATTCTAAATGTTCCTGAGTGTTTTGGAGGCATTATTGCAGGGGAGAAATATAAAAGAAAACAGTAAGATGGAGAGTAATGGGCACCTTCCCCTCCTCATCCTGCTTGAGGAGCAGCCGTGGAGGAGGTTGCTTTACTGTTGCATAGGTTAAGAAGTGCTAGGTCAAATAGCCCACAGTATTGTGCAGCTCCACAGCAATGTTCTTCTAGTTTTCTTGGCTGACTTCAGTTGTAAATCATACTCATCTTTATTTCCTAGGATGTAGTGTCCTCCTTGGAGCAGCAATTCACTCCCATGATGCAGGCTGAATTCTCAGTGCTGGTTGATGTGCTGCATAGTCCAGAGCTGCTTTTTCCTGAAGGGAGCAATGCCAGAATAAGATGTGGTGCTTTCATGTCCAAGTAAGTGGTGTATATGGAAAGGCTTCTTTGGAAAAGATGACTGGAAGTTAAACTTTTCAACAGCACTCCCCTCTAATTTTCAGTAGTGACTTAAGCATGTAGGAGTCTGAGTTCGTATTGAAATCTTAAATTGAGGTCTTTTGCTGCATGTTTTATATTTTTCAGAGATCTAGAAGTCTGGAGAGGAGTAGAGAGAGCATTGCTTGCCTTGTCTGCCTAGAAATTGAATGTTAGAAGCTTGTTAAAATTCTGACAGGAACAATCTACTTCTGTTTTCTTAATGGGCTACTCTTGCTATTAAGTTTCTCCAAACTGACAGCAGAAACTTAGACTTTCTGTGGTAGAATTTTCAGGATTTCATAATGGAGAAGGGTGCTCAGGGCTATTTTATTTATTTTTTTAATAAAGCGAATAAACCATTTCCTTTTTATTTTAAATTGCAGTGGCTCTTTTTCAGATACATTTCACTGGCACCCCACCTGATCCTGAATTATTAGATCTTTTATCTGCAATTTGTGCATTGGAATAGAGTTGTTCGATGGTTTTTATTAATCCTCGAGTGAGTTGCCCTCACTGCCCTTGAGAAACTCTAATTTCAACTGACTTAATGTGGGGGAAATCGACACATTTGAAAACTCTCCTGGTTCCTTGGCTTTTTGCTTATTCTGCAGAGGTAGCACTGTAACAATATACTTCATATGTTTGGAAAACTGAAGTTAAATTTGGAGCTTGTTCCATCTCATTCCCTCTGCTCAAACTCCTGTTCAAAGTCAGTATCAAATCAAGTTGAGGTCTGCCGAGTGTGGCCTGTATAATGCAATAAACAGGTTTCTGTTGGATTTAATTAACTTGCACAGCAAGGAATGTTTTGCAGAGCAATGTAAGAACCCTGATATAAATATGTAACTTCAAAAAAAATTGTTAGTACTGCAGACCTGAGATCTGTATATTTTTGGACTCATAATTAATGAATTTTGTTAATGTGACATTGGGAAAGTCCTGCATGATGTTTTTATTGAGTCCAAGATGGCTTTAGCACACAAAGTTAGCAATGCTTTAAATATATTCAGTTTCATTGTGTTACAGAACAGAGATTTAGATGATGCTGTTTCGTCCCTCTCATGCCTATTTTGGGTGACTGCTTGTGCTTTATGACCAGTAATGTATCTATGCAAATTGGTGGCCACAGCACCTTCGCTGTGTGTTCATCACACAATTTAATTCAAACACTGTTCTATTAACCATAAGCCAACACTGGTATTGAAGAAAGGAAACCAAGGCCTTCAGATTTCCTCCTTCCTGCTGTTTTCACAGCAGCTATGCTAGAACTTGCTCTGTACAGACATAAAAAGGCTTCTTCTGGCATTGGCTTAAGGATAGCAAAACCCAAAGTCTTGGCATGGTTTTAGCTAGAGGCAAACATGTACCTTGTTTTCTGACTTGAGATAGTCTCATGATGTTGTGTGAGTGTAAACAATGGCTGTGCTTCAGCCAAATAACTGCATTTCTGAATGTTTCCATGTGAAGTTTTTAGGAATGCTTTGGGGATCCTTTTGGATCCAGTTGGCTCATTATAAAATAAATTTGCTCGTTATATAATTATTTATTACAACCATCATTGAAGTTAGAAGGTGTACAAAGGTTGTAGCTTTTAAAGTTTGTAAGAAGCACAATGAACTCTGATTAGCTTTAAATAAAAGTTAATGAAAATGCATAGTTACCTTCAAGTAAAGAAAGAAAGAGCAAGTTTGGATCTTAATCTGGAAGCATTCAGAAAAAAGTGGGTGTAGAATTCTGCCTTCTGTATGGGCAAGAAGATGCACAAATTGTAATAAAAAACTCACAATACCTTGAAAGCCCCATCTCCTTTTTAATTACGATTTCTTTTGTCTACTTTTATTTCCTTCCCTTAAGGAAAAATATAATGATGAGTAATTTTTGCATGAAGAAATTTTAGCATGGCTTAGTAACAGCGTGCAATGCTCTTTAAGGTTTTATATTTTACTTTAAGGTTGATTAATCACACAAAGAAGCTGATGGAGAAAGAAGAAAAGCTCTGCATTAAAATTCTTCAGACATTACGAGAAATGCTTGACAAGAAAACCAACTTTGCGGAAGAGGTACTGCTACCATTTTATTTTTAAATATAGAACTAATAGAATGGTATTAAAATGTGGGTTCTAGAACAGTAACAGAATATGTCATGATTTCAATTTCTCACGCATTTTGAAGATGATGTGGTTTTTCAGAAACTGTGTGGCATGACGGAAAGTAACGATTAACGATTCTGTGATTCTGTGATTCTGTAAGATTTAAACAAAGGAAACTACTTCCCTTACATAGATAGTTCTGTATCAGGGACTTTAAAAGTCAGAGCAAGAAAGACTAAATAAATTTGCAGTAGCTAGTATTGCTATATTTAATTATTATGTATTGGAAGTATGTGTTTCTAGAAATTAATCCTCTGGTCTGACATCTGACTTTATCTAGCAGATAATCAATTAGAAGCATTGGGTTTTTTAATTGCAATTGTACAGTTTTCTCCGCTGCCTGTGGTGCCAGACTTTTGTGCTCCATAAACGTTTTAATGCTTATAAATATGTGACAGGAATATGTAATGTTTAAGCAGAGTTGCCTGTTTTGTGGAGAAGTGACAGAGTCTGTAGAATGTTTTAATTTTTCTTGAACCGATTAACATTTGTTCTGTCTTTCCTTCCCCTTATTGCCCAGTTTTTTTCTCAAAAGAGCAAAAACAACTTATTCAAATATCCATTTTATTTTGCTTGCAGCTTTGGGTGTTGGTAGCTAGATTTCAACTTGCATCGCAGCTTTCCCTTCCTAAAGGTTACAAGCTTTTTGTGTACCTTTTGTATTTCCTTATCCTTATTTCTGAGTATTCCCCAAATTCTTTCAGTATTATTCACTCATGAAGATGAATCATACAGCTATTATCTAATCTTTCACTGCCATTATTTTCATTTGATCACAGCTGACATGTTTAGTCAAGTGTGTTCATGGGTTTCACTTTACTTTTAGAAAAGTCACACCATTTCACTGTTTTAGGCTTTTACACCCAAGTATTCTCACGTATCAAAGTAACAGTGCTCATTCATGTTATTGTACCTGGCAGACTTATCCACCAGTCAGATATGATAGCTATGCGATTCAATCTTACTCCTAATCTAACCATAAGAAGTGTTTTGGTGACTAAGATATGCATGCCTATTTCTGAATGTATGAGACTTTATTTTTACAGTTAAGTGTTTTGGTACTGTCAAACAATGTGATAAGGCAGAAACTCTTCTCTTTCATGATAAATGAGACATATATTACAAATGGGGAATATTCACAGTGTCTTTGTTTTGACGGTATACTCTTTATTTTGATTTTAACATATGGATATGGGAGCATGTTGCCCAAGCTTCTAAGCAACCTGCCAACAGGATTAAAAAACTCTCAGTGCAGAACAGTGAAATGAAGACAAAAGAAGCAATAGCAAAACATCAGCTTTTCTGTATACTGACACAACCAAACCAGTGCAAACAGAGCGAATATATTTTCTCTTCACCTCCTGTAAAAGAATCTAGCTAAAAGAAGAATGTGGGTAGGCCAGAGCAGACAGTTGTGAGTTTTTTCATTTCCTAATAAGTTTCACACATGAAGCAGATATTATTCTTTATTATTTATTTATTATTATTATTATTACTTTATTAACTTTCTGGGTCCATAATCCCGCTGCATCATATGGAAAAACTTCCTTTCTTTTGTAACTGCATGTTACGAAGAAAAGTGCCAAACTTCTCCAAAATAGTTACACTGACCCACCAAAAGTTAACAAATTTTAGGTGGAAAAAAAAAAACAGTGCTTCAGTGCACAATATTCCAAACAAACAAAAAACCTTGTCTGTTTTAATTCCTTTTGGTGCCTTTGCATGGATGCTGATAAATCAAGACTGAGTGAAACCACCAGAGGGAGCGTACTCCATTGGTTTGTAGGGGCTCTGCACCCTGCCAGCCCAGCCTCTGGTCCTCAGCAGTGGACATCAAAGGGTGTAAGCCCAGACCCCTCTCGTGATTTCCACCATCTCAGAAGTTGCAAAGGTACGCCAGGTAGAAGAGCTTTTCAGGAAACAGAATTTCTCCTTTGTGCTTTCTCTTAAATCCCATGGATTTTACATGTGAGAAACATAATGAATCATTGCAAGCAAATAAACTAGTAAACAAGCCTGTATGATTTGCAAATACGTATCTGGCTTTATATTCTTAGGAGTCATTGTTTGTAATAAAAACTTCAGAACAGTAAAAATAGAACAATGAATAGCCTGTTGTGCAGGATTCCAACTTCTAGTGAATGGTTTTGTCACTGTCTGAAATGTTATCCGGAGTTCAAGAAGCATCTGGATAATGCTCTCAGACATATGGTCAGATTTTTGGGTGGTCCTGTGTGGAGCCAGGAGTTGGACTTGATGATCCTTATGGGTCCCTTCCAATTTGGGATATTCTATATCCAGTATCCCCTTAATTCTATCTCTTGCTAATATTATGGGATATTGGTATTCTGTGATTGAACAGTAACATGAGTGCAGAGCTACAGAGGGACACATGACATTCTGACAAAAAGCCTCAGTTTCTTAATCATTCATCATAACATATTTTTTGTGATACATTTGACAGAAATGGTAAATTTCCACTTTCTGCAGACTTTATTACAGAAAGAAACCGGAAAAAAAATGAAATCAAATATCATCCTCTCTCTTTCTTCCCATAGTTAAGATTCAGGTATGGGACCTGGGCATTCTGTTGTCTTTTCTTTCATTTGACTGCTGTAAAGTAGTCTGTATTGATGAAGCAACAGGAAGAAAAGATAGCTTTAGGAGCGTATTTCACTGTTTTCATGACTATTTCCAATCTGTCCCTTATCCATTGCCTGGAGTCAACTCTGTTGTTGAGCCTCCTCTCGTTGCATGGTCTGTGCTGCTCATGCTCTCCTGGCTTCATCCTCAGTTGCACTTGCAATCTGCCTTTGAGGCAGTGCTTGCTTATGCATTGTTTTGCCAAGTGCTGCAACATCTAATTGTGTTAGGAATCAAAGTTTAATTTCAGAAGTTTGATTTAAGGTATATAAATGACACACAAAACCTCCTGGTCATTGATTGGCTTTCATAAGTAATTGTAGGTGATTATCACAATCTCCCTGGAGTTCTGTGTTGAGTCCTAGTCCTATTTGTATTGATTAGGTAACTAACTGGAATGAAACTTGATCTACAGCCCCTCTCTTACAGAAATATCTTTCAGAACAGCATTAAGGCACTGGGGTGAAGCAGTGCCCAGACAATTACTGTGGTATAGATAAAAGCAGACTTTATATTGACTGTGTAAGAAGAGGAACAGTGAAAAGACTGCCCTTGGACTAGGTCTGCCCCATCTGTGTTTGTTACTGCTAGTGGTTTTTATACCACCATTTGGTCTAGTATTTCTAAAGTTTTTTAGTCAAGTCTTTTTCTTGTTCTTTGCCATAGTGCTTGATTTCAGTTTAACTTCTTTATGAATGCTGACTCCAGACATACTTACATGTCACAGAATACGGAGAACACGTGCAACATTTCAACCCACTTTGGCTGCTGACATGTCAGTGCCTTGAGCTTTCAGATTTACCAGTTGTTCTTAATGAGGTCAGCATCTCTTGGAAAAATGTACCGTTTTATACATGATAACATGTATATTTGACAAGTTTACTGTAACATCATTGGCTGGTCAGAATGCTAATGAGTCATAGTGTATTAGAGAATATAGTAGAGTCCAAGACCGTATATCCTGCCAAATGGTAGTTTCTAGAAAAAGCACAATTGGCTGTACACTTCAGTAAGGGTTATTTGTGCTGTGGAACAGACTTTTTACTTACTTTCTGCCTTAGGTGTTGAATTGCAGTATAAATAATTAAAAGCATTGAATATTTTTAAAGTGTCAGCAGAACAAAGACTGCGTAAGCTGCTTAATTGTCAGAAGTATGTATCTGTGCTTTTCACCTTTATTTTGGAAAAACTCCTGAAATATATTGTCTTTCTCTTAATACTTTTGCACTAGCTTCACAGTTCAGAATGGTAGAGGTAGCTTTGTTCTTTGTAGTCTTCCATTTTGAAATGTTAATATTTTTGTATTCCACTTTAGATATGAAATGTAAGCTATCCTCTCCTTGTTGTTTTCAGCAACAACACCAAAATGCATGTGAAATTTGATGCAGCTTCTTTTTCACTGCAAACATCCATGACATAGCCACTGTTGGCTGTTGGTCAGTTTATCCCAGAAAAACTGAGTCATTTCACATGCAGCTATTGAGAAAACTCAAACAACTTTGTCAAAAGGAGCTGTCTCAATTTGTAAATATATTGATCTACCCATCAAGCTGAAACCAGTGAAACTGCAGGTCTTTTTGTGCAGGGAAAAATGATCTCAGTGTGCCTTGGAAGCTGGGTGATGTTGCTGGGAGCCACTGCAGTGTCCCATTGCGTCAGCTTTTGTAATTGAAAGTGTAGCTATTGCCTTCTGTTTTACTTTTCAAGATTATTTTCTTTTCACTGCATCTGTGAATTAGGCAGTATGCAGATAAATAACATATATAGGTAATAATAAGTGGGGGGAAAAAGGGAATAATTCTGAACACATGGGGATTTTCTGAATGTATAATGGCTTTAAAGGACATTTGTTCTGTGTCAGAGAAAGGATGTGAAATTCCTTTATTTCCGTTACGTTTTGGATTAGTGACACTGCAGACATTCTGAAGAATCATATTTACTTTTTCAACAATTTTGCTGTCTGCTTTATTTCTGTTCATAGAGAAAAATGATTATGCACTAGGCTGTTTTTTTTCCTGTTGTCAATAGGTTGTTCTCACTCATTGAGTTTGTACAGTGATGTGAGGTTCGAAATACTGTAGGAAAATATTTAAGCTCAATGCTGTTTGTGTTGAATTTTTTAATTTTTTTTTTAATCACCCTTCAGTTTCAGACGGTAAAGTACATTTTTTGCAATATCCTGCATTAAGCCTCTTACCTCAGGATAATAGGTGCAGTCTGGGAGGAACTGGAGGTTCACGAAAGAAGAGTGTTTGATCAGCTTTAGC